AGGTACCACTGTACCTTTTACCTTAGACTAGATGCTGCACCTCCCAATGCCTTTGTTGAGAACAGATGGGAGGGTAGTCATCCAGTCCCATGAAAGGTGGCCAGGTTTATGGGGGGCACGTTTGATATGGGGAGGATGAGCTGGTGCCAAGCAGGAAGTGAGCAGGGAGAGAAAAAGGTCTCCTGCAACAGTGGATATTGGAGGGGAAGTTTGCAGAGAGTTTCTGAGGTAGTGGTTAAGAGCGGTGGACTTGTAATCTGGTGAACTGGGTTGGCTGCCCTGCTCCTCCACATGCAGCTGCTGGGTGACCTTGGGCCAGTCACACTTCTCTGAAGTCTCTCAGCCCCACTCACCTCACAGAGTGTTTGTTGTGGGGGAGGAAGGGAAAGGAGAATGTTAGCCGCTTTGAGACTCCTTCGGGTAATGATAAAGCGGGATATCAAATCCAAACTCTTCTTCTTCTTCTTCATGGGCGGTGTCAGCAGGTACACCAGGCCCACGGGCGCTGCGTTGGCATTCCCTGCTAAGCAGCGTATGCTATAAATACACGCTGCACAGAATGCTCACTTCTCCAGGCATAAGCCCCATGGATCTCAAGGGGCTGGTCTCTGCGCAGGCAATCGTGCCGCGAAAAGCCTTTCCAGAGACGAGGGCTTTACGACCCGCAGCTGGCGCCTTTCTCTTCTCTCTGCTTTTCCTTTTTTGTCCTCGGCAACTTAGCAAGGAAGAGCTGGAGTCAAAAGTCCACGGCTGTACCAATCTCGGTGCAGGGAGATACAAATCGCTGGAAACCTTTTGAAAACTGGAAAAGGGGAGGACGGAGGGAAAGAACGAGCTGGACTGCTGAGACCGCATGAACAGATAAGGTTGACAAAAAGCCGTTTGGGGCGAACTGCAAATTAACCTCAATTTCCTCCAGGGCAATAAAGATGTAATGCAGTAATGACGTTGTCTATTAGAAAGAGGCAGCTTCTGCTCCTAGATGAGCCCATATTGTGAAACTCGTTTATTCAGGTATGGTGAATTCATGGGAGTTTTCCTAGAAATTGGCCACACATCATTTATTGAATGCATCCAATCATTTTGCATGTCTATCTTCTTACTTGATGGTTCCCAAAGTGGGGACAAATAACCCCTGGGGATTTCCAGGGAAGGGTGCTAAGAGGAAGGGCTGTGCTGGAAGCGTAAATGGCTATCGGTCTTTGAAAAGTATAAATTGATGGTTCAAGTTGATCAGTTTTCTCGAATTAAACCAAATAATTTTAATCGGATTTTGAGTAAATGTGCAACGAATGCTTACTGTTCTGAATTTTATTGTGGGTGCTTCCTTAGCGGGTCGTGCAAGCCGCCACTCTGAATAACGCTTCGCACAGGATTGGGGCCCTTGGGGATCACCAAGGGGGACAGGCCCCCCAAGAAGTTTGGAAATCACTATTTAAATGAAGTAGAGATTGCAACACCCCCTCGCTGTCAGCCCTTGTCCCCTTCTGCTAAAGTTAGCAAAGAGTCTCGAGACGCGTTCAAGTTAAACTGAGTTTATTTCACCCTTTTACAAAATTCAACATATGAACAATTGTGCTCGTGTCAAGGTTTTAGATTCCCCCCCGCCCCCACTTTTTGCTTTCCTGTCTTTTAAAATTTGGTGCTCACAGAGCTTTTAAAACACATTCATAGTGGCAAGGGGTAGAGGGCCCGCAAGTGGCTGTTGCGCTGGGCAGGGGAGAGCAGAGGAAATAAAATTGAGCAGCTGTACCCGGTTGCAGAGATGCCAGAAAGCCTTGGATGAGGAAGTCCCCTCCCTCTTCACGCAGACCCCACCTTTTCCTATATCCTCAAAGAAATGAAAAAGGGCCACCATTTTGAGCAGCGGAGGATGGCAGCCTCTTAGGAGGAATGGCACCAACACGTGTGTTCAGGGTCTGGCAAAAGCCACTGGACTTGCCTCCAGACGAAAGGGACTTTTGCTCACCTAACCGCTTCCTTCTCCTGCCCAGGTGCCAATCACCCTGAGGGATGGCTCCAATATTCGACCGCCTCCTTTTCCCGGCAGAAAAAACTCACAAACTTAGCACAACATGAAGAGGACGGCACAGCAAGGCTCCACCTTGGCCTGCTAAGGTTATCTTTTATGAAATCTCCATTTGGGATGATCACAACATTGAAGGGGGCCATTAAAAAACAGCCCCGGTTATTTTAAAAAGCCCAAAGTGCACGTGTGTATGTGTGTGATTTTTTTTTTATTAAAAAAAAAAACCTGGTCGTATTCCAAAAAGAGCGAGTGCTTGCGTGTGTTTGAACTGTGCGTTGTGGTTCTAATCTGGGTTTCCACACATCCAACAGAGGTCAGAGAACACCGCTGGGAGAGCAGGATGGAGAGCAGCCTGTGCCTTTTTTTGGGTGGGGGTCCAAGTTGGGTAACCTCCAACCAGCACAGCAAAGGAGGACGAGGAGGAGGAGGAACCATGTAAACACATTTTTGAGTGGATGTTGGCACCTTACAGAGGTTTAAATGCACTGGGGGGAACAGGAGGGGCGACGCTTATTGTGGACAAGGAGATATGAAGTTCCTTTCATGTCACTTTCCCATCCACTAGATCAGACATCCCCAAACTTGACCCTCCAGATGTTTTGGGACTACAATTCCCACCATCCCTGACCACTGGTCCTGTTAGCTAGGGATGATGGGAGTTGTAGTCCCAAAACATCTGGAGGGCCAAGTCTGGGGATGCCTGCACCAGACGGAGAGACCATCTGCACATGGCTTCCTTTTAAGCCTTGCGCACCTAACAGAGGACGCCTGTACATGTTGTGGACATGCGAGGGAGGCTGATCACCATGGAGAATCCAACGTTTTATGTACCACCACCTCTTTTGCCCTGGCTGAGGATTATTCATTCATCCAGGCAGGGAGCAGAGTATGGGGAGAACGAGACTTGTGGCTTCAAAGTGGGACGGCGGCTGCCTAAAGAGAACCCGCTTCCGTTGGGACAGCCACCTTTGCCCTTTGTTCCGCTGCATTTCAACTTGCATGGCGACAGTCTGCATTATTGGGTTACCGGGTGCAAAAGAGAGAGAATCTCCTTTTGAAAATGCAAAGGGGGAATTGCAGTCCCTGAAGACTATCCAAAAAAGAGCAGAGAGGTCTGTAAACATTCGTGAGTCGCAGCCATCAAACATGCCAGCGAGCGAATGCGCTTCCTGCCAAAATGGGGCACAGGGAGCCCCCCCCTCCACCTGTATTTTCACAAGAGGGTGATGGTTACCCTTTGGCACTGCGGAGCTCCAACCAGCACCCACGACATGCAAAAATCAGGACCCCAGGACAGGAATCGCAGTGGGAGAATATATCAAGGGGACTGCCAACCTTCCCGGATGCTACAGAAAGGCGACTATTTCACTACTGCCTTTCTATAAATAAAAAAGGGAAGGGGAATCTAAATTGCAGCCGGGGTGGGGGGCAGCAAGTGGTTCCATTGTTCCATACCATCTCTTATAGTTTTGCAAAGACTGCACACAATGGCCTACTTTGCCAATGTGATGTCGAAGCGAGAGCCTTTCTAGAAAAGGCCCCCTGCGGAACCAAAACTCTGTGCAGAAGTAGCTTGAAAGCAATTGGGGGGGGGGCAGAGACGGCCTGCACTCTTTAGAACAATAATATTAATCTGTGTGCAGTCTCCCGTGGGGTCCAGCGCTCCTGGGGAGTAGACCACTCGCCTGTCTCTCTCCAGCGGCTGCCGGCACCCCGGTCCCAAGAGCCATAGAGGGAAAAGGGCACAGGAGGGAGGAGAAGAAGGGCAGTTTTAGGCATCAGGGCTGAGAGAGCTGTTGAGACCAGACATGATTGCTTGAGACAGAGGATGGATTTGGGGTACACTTCATGAGCAGGAATACAGCACCTTTCATCTGGAACACACCACAGACCCGTTGCGGGTGTGTGTGCGTCTTGTTGAAGAATCCCAAAGAGGCCACATCTGAAAGAAAACTTAACCCACACTCCCAAACGACTTGCCTGCAGTCACCCTGGCGTTGCCCTCGCCTGCGGCGCGGAAACTTCCCACGCTGCGCAAGCGATGCTTAAATTAAGACCTTTGAGCTTCCGCAAAGGGAGGTGGGGTGCTTACGCGATGCCCCCGCGTGGCACAGAGAGAAGCAGCAGGCCCCCCGAGCCTGCAAGGAAGCAGCAGGGAAAGGGCGCCCATTTTCCGCTAGGGGCATCCGCAGCTGGGAAAGGTGCCGCTGGGTGGCTGGGTGGCCACAAAAAAAGGTTGATGCGGCAGGATCCTTTAGCGCAGGTGGGTGTAGAGGCGAGAAGCTCCCTGGAATCACTTCGCTCCTTGACAGCTGCAGGGAGAGGGTATTTTTCAGCGGAAAGGGATCCATGGTTTGCTCCAGGAAATCCCAAGCCGGTCTCACTGAGAAGCAAACGGATGGAGGCCTCAGGTGGCCAGGTCTTCCCTCCTTGAGAACAAGAAAGAAATCTGGGATATTGGCCGGGGTGGGCAGAGGGTGTTGGACGCAGCTTCCTGGGGCCTCTGCTTCTCCCCAAACAACATCACGGGCCAGGGGCGAAACAAACATGAAATATCCCCTCCCTCCCTCCCAGCAGCCCCCTCCCACCTTCTGGAAAAAAAAATATAGAAAGCCTTACCAGGCATATCTAAAACACTTCCATTTTAAATAATAATTAATATTTTAAAAACCCCAGTTTTGCCCTTGGCTAACCCACTACCTGGGGGACTAACCAGTCTCAGTTTTTCCTCAGTACACAATACCAAGCAGAGTCTTTAATGGGTGGTGCCCCACGGCTTACAGTCCCCGTGGGGCTGGCACAAGATGGCGGGAGACACCGCTGTGTCCTTCTCCTCAGGCAGAAGGTGGCGCCTGTCCCAGGGGATGAGGAGCAGCAGCGGGAGGAGGAAACCATTCCAGCCTCCCTCCTCGCCTCCGGCCTCGATCCAGAAGTCCGCAGCCAACGCACGCAGGCGCGTCTCCACGCAGGCCTAGATGAACTTGAAGCACTTGGTCTTGTCGTGGGGCAGCCTGGTCTTGAAGAGGACGGAGTCCACGCGGAACTGGGTGTAGAGCAAAGGCATGTAGCCGTAGACTCTGACGAAGAAGTTGATGCATTTGTGCCGCTCGTGGAAGTGGGAGTCGTCGTGGGAGAGGGCCTGGGGGCAGCCGGGGCAGCGGAAGGTCCAGCGTGACGTCACCTGCGCACAGGAGGAGGGCAAGGGAAGCAGGCCGTGAGCAGGGAGGAGCTGGGAGGAGTCCCCCAAGAGGATTCAGCAGCCCAAAGTTGTGTGCTGGGCTAAGGATGCTCAGTCAGGGTTCTTGCCAGAGTGGACTGGCACACGAAACTACAGTGGTACCTCAGTTTTCAAACAGCTTAGTTCACTAACAATTTGGAACCCGAATGCTGCAAAACCGGAAGTAGGAGTTCCGGTTTCCAGACCTTTTTTCGGAAGCCGAACATGCTCCGTTTGGAGTCCCCCTGTGTTTCCTGTTGCGCTGCTAATTCGCGTCCCCTCATTCAAGGAGCGGCAGGGTGGGAGAGGGAGGCCCTGTGCCCACCCCCTCTGGACCCCTCACGGCAACTCTGGGAAGCCAAAGGATTTCTCTGCCCACGCCAAGCAGCTGCCCTTATCCGCAAAGGCTTGTTTTCATGAAGAGACACATAATGCCTGGCAGGGACCTCAGCAGGTCGGCTTCAGCTAGAAGCCTCCTCCGTCTTCCTCCTGCCCACTCTGGCTGCTAAGCAGAGCCAAAAGGTCAAAGCAATTACTAACAGCCGCTGATGGACTTTGCTCTAGAGAAATACCAGCTAATGACGGTGCCAAATTCAAGGGCCTCTGGAGACCTGTCCTAGGCCTTACGCAGTGGGTACCCTGACCCCTATGGCAAGAGCTGGCATAGCTGTCAACTTTCCCCCTTTTTTTAAGGGAAATTCCCTTATTCCGAATAGGATCCCTCACAAGAAAAGGAGGGAAAAGTTGACAGCTATGAGGGCTGGTCCGATCTCAAGTACCGTATTTTTTGCTCTATAGGACGCACTTTTCCCCCTCCAAAAATGAAGGGGAAATGTGTGTGCGTCCTGTGGAGCGAATGCAGGCTCATTGGCTTCAGCGATAGCAACATGAAACCTCCGAAGCGCAGAGGGAGAGCTCCCCCGCGCTCCGGAGGCTTCGCGTTGCTTTCGCTGAAGCCGCCTGAAGCCCCCAGAGCGCAGGGAACTCCCGCTGCGCTCTGAAGGCTTGTGGATAGCTGCCTGCAGCCTGGAGAGTGAGAGGGGTCGGTGCACACCGATCCCTCTTGCTCTCCTGGCTTCACTTTGCTGGAGAGGTGCTGCACAGTTTTCCCTCTCTGCGCAGCGCCCCTTCAGCGAAGTGGGAGGAGAAATGGAAGGGGCTCTGTTTCTCCTGACGCTTCGCTGAAGGGGTGCTGAGCAGAGAGGTGGAGAAATTTTCCCCCCCTGTTCTCCCTCTCCTATGGTCCGGTGCGTCCTATAGAGCGAAAAATACGGTAGTACTCAAAGGAATTGTCAGTAAGATCTACTCTTTTTTTGCATGGTTTTTTTTTTTTGCATGGGGAACACCACCACCTTGCATGTTGTAGAATGCTTCCAAATTTTCAAAGCACCCCCTGGGCGTTGCCTTTACCTTCAAAGGCAAAAGCCGAGGATGTTTAGCTCTGACAACCGAATGAGCTTCCCTCGCCAAAGGTCTCTGAATGGAGACCTTCCCCCTTTCTCAACCTGTGGGTCCCCAGATGTTGTTGAACTACAACTCCCATCATTTCTTTCTCCCACATCCCAGGGCCAATTTGACAGGCCTGGTCTAGATCATATTGTATCAAACCCAAAAGGAAAGAGAAAACAGCAATGAAAACAATTTGTGCATGAGCTTGGGTGTATGTGTGTGTGTTTATACATAGGGGAAGCTTTTTACTTGATGGGAAGTTTTTTCCACTTGACCTAACAGTTTAATTGATTAAATGTTGCAACCCTCTTTTCCACACCACTGTTCAGAGGCACGCCCTAGTACAGGCACCCCCAAACTCGGCCCTCCAGATGTTTTGGGACTACAACTCATATCATTCCTAGCTAACAGGACCAGTGGTCAGGGATGATGGGAATTGTAGTCCCAAAACATCTGGAGGGCCGAGTTTGGGGGTGCCTGCCCTAGTAGCTCAGGAATGAGAGATCATTTTGCCCTAGCAAAAAAAGGAAAGAGGAATCAGTCCTCTCAAGTCCTCTGCCAAGCGCTTACCTTGATTGGTGGCTTCCTGGTGATATGAGAGACCAGGAAGTTCATAGCGATATCCTCACAGTTGATGTATTCATCTACCATGTCTCGGATGGCCTGGGGCATCACGTAGGAATACAGGTAGGCATAGTACTTCAGGTGAAAGGGAGAGAGGGAGAGAGGGAGGGAAGGAGAATGGGAAAACATCAGAAAATGGCCAAGACACAATGGCCCCCCCACACAAATGCCACTGATTTACCATAGTAAAGGTAAAGGGACCCCTGACCATTAGGCCCAGTCGTGGCCGACTCTGGGGTTGTGGCACTCATCTCGCTTTATTGGCCGAGGGAGCCAGCGTACAACTTCTGGGTCATGTGGCCAGCATGACTAAGCCACTTCTGGCGAACCAGAGCAGCACATGGAAATGCCATTTACCTTCCTGCTGGAGTGGTACCTATTTATCTACTTGCACTTTGACGTGCTTTCGAACTGCTAGGTGGGCAGGAGCAGGGACCGAGCAACGGGAGCTCACCCCGTCGCGGGGATTCGAACCGCCGACTTTCTGATCGGCAAGCCCTAGACTCTGTGGTTGAACCCACAGCGCCACCCGTGTCCCTTCTGATTTACCATAGCTGAGTCCAAATATACACACTTTGGGGGAAAGAGAAGAGTCTTGTGCAGGTGAAATGGACCCAATATAACACCATGGCTTGTTCAATTTCATTTTCACCTCTGCTTCTCTGCCTCAGAAGAACCACATTGGATCTTGGCCAGGGACGGGGATCCGGTGGAACTCCAAATGTTCCTGCACTCCAACTCCCATCATCCCCGGATATTGGCCATGCTGGCTGAGGATGATGGGAGTTGGAGTCCAACACCATCTGTGCCCCATTCTAGGTCCAAACTCCTTCCAGACAAGGGGAGGAGGAACAGCGCTTAGCTCCTTCGCTGGCTCTCTAACTGCCCACCTAGGCAAGTCCATTTGCACTGAAAAGCCAGCCCGATATTGGTTCCAACCACTAGGTCACGGGTTTCTGCACCCCTTCCCTCTACTTCGCCCAAGAGGACAGTATCTCAGCCCTGTTCTGTTTTCTCCATCCTCCCCGAACAGGTGGAAGGACGGGACAGCTTGAGTTTGGCTCCCGGCTTCTGTGGATGTGGCCTGTGAGAATAACAGACCCCTCTGCCCACCAGGAACAGGCAGGTTGGCAAAGGAAGCTCCACAAGGGGAGGGGAACATGAGAGTTGGGGTGGTGTTGTTTTTTTGCAACTCCCCTTCTTATAAAAATATGTGAGCTGAGAGCCACTCCCAGCGACTGGGGTCCCCCTCCCTTACCTTGTGGAAGAAGGCAGCGCCCGTCAGCACCATGGAGAGCTCACAGGAGTAGTTGGAGTTGTACAGCCAGGATTGGTGAGGGATGTCCCATGCGTGGTAGCGCCCAGGGAAGCCGACAATGCGGTCCCTGGCTTCTCTCCAGACCCTGAAGATGCAAAGTGGGAAGGGAAGAGATGGAACAAGGCGGACAGACTGGGGACAAAGAGCGCGGCTCAGCCCACACAAGCGGCCCTTTCACTAAGCCAACGGCAGCTTATTCACACATCGTTTTAGGCAGACATGACAGGGCGTTCGCTGTTAAGCTGGGCGGCAAATATTCAGCAAAGAAAATGGGCAACACTAAGAACAGAGGCTGACTGTAATGCAAAGCCCAGAGGACTCCCCCCTCACACACTTTCTTTTAGACTTTTAACATTCAGCTTTTTCTTGGTTTCTGCCCTTTTCTTCAGCAAACACACGCACATTTTGTTTCTCTTCTGTTTATTGCAATGATAATATAAACAGCTCGTCCTTCCTAAAGTTACTGGTAGGGCGAGGGCAAGACTGCGAATCATAGCCACTTGGATTTCGGGGCAGAAAACCAGAGCTTTAGCTTACAGAGCCGCACATCTCACAAAATGCTCCTGCTACTATTTTACCTCCTATGGCCTTACATTTTACACTCTAAGAAGCTCAACGTGGTGCACATGGTCTATGTATCTCCCGCTTGGACTACTGCAATGCGCTGTACGTGGGGCGAGCTTTGAAGGTGACCCAAAAACTAACTAATCCAGAACACGGCAGCTAGAAGAGCGCAGGAAATAGCTTGAGTGCACACTCCGGCGCCCACGCTCCGGTCCACCGAGAGGTCTGCCGGGGAGTGGGCCGGACCAGCCTCAAAAAACGTTGCCGACCCCTTGACTAAATGACTCTTTTGGTCCCTTCCAACTCTACAATTCTAGAATTCTATGCACACACACCCTGCAAGCTTAGATGATTATCTGACGTGAAGCCCATATCTTGAGTGAGGTCCACGTTGATCATCTAACCGGGGCCATAAATGGCTATACAGGCCTCTCCTCATCCACTTAAAAACAAGATTTATAGAGGGAAAAGCAAATCCTGCCATCTCTCCATGTCTCTTCCCACCAATTCCTGCCACAATGCCAGCTTCATAAACGTGGTTGGGGCTTATTCCCCTTCCTACAAAAACACTCCCACGACTCCTCACGTCGTGCCAGCAAGGAGCAGTCCCTCTTGCACTGGTGACTATAAATAGAGGCACATTGCTAAAAATAAGGATTTGTTGCAGCCAAACATCTGCATGCGGTGGGAATTTAGAGCAAATGCAGAGAAATAAGACCCCGCAGCTAATTTTTCCTGTAGATATCCCCTCGTGCAGATAGGGAGAGTAAGATTTATGAACAAGATGCAGTTTCCCTTGCTGGGGGGCACGCAGGAGAGCAGAACTCCTCGGGAAAGGAGGAGGAAAGGACAGAGACCCTTTGGTCCAATGCTCAAAAACAGTCTCTCTCACATGCAAATCGAGAGGGAAGTATAAGTTAGGACTCAAAGCAGAACGGACAGCGTAATTATGCAAGTGGAAGGGAAGAAAACCAGCCTTGTTTGGTGCTTAAAAGGTAAAGGGACCCCTGACCGTTAGGTCCAGTCGTGACCGACACTGGGGTTGCGGCACTCATCTCACTTTATTGGCTGAGGGAGCCGGCGTACAGCTTCCGGGTCATGTGGCCAGCAGGACTAAGCTGCTTCTGGCGAACCAGAGCAGCGCACGTAAACGCCGTTTACCTTCCCACTGGAGCGGTACCTATTTATCTACTTGCACTTTGACGTGCTTTCGAACTGCTAGGTTGGCAGGAGCAGGGACCGAGCAACGGGAGCTCACCCCGTCGCAGGGATTCAAACCGCAGACCTTCTGATCGACAAGTCCTAGACTCTGTGGTTTAACCCACAGCGCCACCCGCGTCCTGTTTGGTGCTTTTTGGCCGCAAAATACTCAGTGGTTGCTAAAATGGGTGGTACGTCCTGGGGGGGGGGGGGCATTTCCAGGGGCGCACTAAGAGGGCAGCAGAGGGACATTAGAGGTATAAATGGCTTTTAGGCTTTGAAAAGCTGTATCACTGGATCAAATTCATCAGTTTTATTTCAACTAAACATTTGTAATAGGATTTTGAACAGGCATAGGCAAACTCGGCCCTCCAGATGTTTTGGGACTACAACTCCCATTACCCCTAGCTAACAGGACCAGTGGTCAGGGATGATGGGAGTTGTAGTCCCAAAACATCTGGAGGGCCGAGTTTGCCTATGCCTGATTTTGAATGAAGGTGCAACCGGTTGTTACTGTTTTGAATTTTATTGCATCATCTTTCTTTGTGTGCTGTGCAAACCACTGCTCTGAATAATGCTTTTCTAGAGGGGAGGCATTGAGAACGAGATAATGGAACCAAGGTGGCGGGGAGCCGGAAATGTTCGGGAATCGCTGGGTTAGCTGAATTGGGCTTGACGGAGAGAGGCAACAGTGAATGGCCCTGATGGAATGGGAAGAAAGGGGAGAGGCTGTTGGGCCTCTTGGCAGGATCCGTCCCTTGCCTGTTAAAGAGCAAAGTTTTTGGCTCACCGGAATCCAAACATGATCTCGTCGTGGCGCAGGTGGGCGTCGTCGTCGATGGACAGGATGGCCTCCGTCTCAATCTCATCCCAGGGCAGGAAGCGGTTGTTCAGACTGTTCTTCTCTGTGCGCACCACCTAAGGAACAGAAGTAAAATTTTTTAAAAAGAACTCATGCTGGGTGAGATCTTGCAGTGGACGTAACAGGGAGGGGGGTTCCCTGTTCCAGAGATCTCCTAAGGTATCACACAAGCATGGAGACACAGAGCCCCCTAACAGGACATTACACATGTATGTGGATCATATCTGACAATGCTTCCCTTTTTTAAAGGGAAATTCCCTTATTCCAAATAGGATTCCTTGCAAGAAAAGGGAAAACCTGACAGCTATGATGTGGATAACAGCAGCCTGGGAGAAGCGAATCTGGAGAGAATGATTTGGAGCACAGACTCCATGGGGGGGGGTGTTAACTGCCCTCCCATGCAACTTGCCTGCTCTAAGCTACCCTCCCCCAAAGATGCTGATGTCCGATAGACAGGTGGAGAGTCCACCTTCAGCCACCTATGACTTGGGTCCCCTCGAGCCCTTGGACTTAGGACTGCTTAACGGAACTATGTCCAGCTATAGGTAGGGGACTGAGTGCTTGATTTATTATTATTGTTATTAAACTTAAAATTAGACAATACAACACATTACATACAATACATACATTACCTACCTACCTACCCAACGTAAATACATCCAAGTGTTTGACTTTCAGATACAGTGGTACCTCGGGTTAAGAACATAATTCATTCTGGAGGTCCGTTCTTAACCTGAAACTGTTCTTAACCTGAGGTACCACTTTAGCTAATGGGGCCTCCCGCTGCCGCCATGCTGCCACCATACGATTTCTGTTCTCATGCTGAAGCAAAGTTCTTAACCCGAGGTAATATTTCTGGGTTAGCGGAGTCTGTAACCTGAAGCATCTGTAACCTGAAGCGTCTGTAACCCGAGGTACTACTATATTCTCATTGTGCTATTTTACAATTTGGTGGTCTATACGCATTTCATTTTTGTTATTTTGGTCTCCAATTTTTTTCTCTACACAGATTTGACTATATATTCCTCTATTTTCTAGATTCATTCTGTATCTGTCAGGAGATTTGTCTTGTACGTATAATTCTTATGGGTATTCATTTAAGATTATCCATTCATTATTTACTTTTTGTATAGTATTTCATCTAATTCTCCGTGTCAACTTGGCAGGATGTAAATATTCAATCATTTTTGGTGGGTTTTGGTGGGTATATTGTTACTTTGACTGAGTGCTTGATTGCAGCATGAATGAGAAACAACCACCCAAACGATAAATGGACATAAATCTGACATCAGGAATCACAAGACAGAGAAACCAGTACAAGAACACTTCAATCTCCCAGGACATTCTATGCAAGATCTCAAAGAAGCTGTCATATTACAAAAGAATTTCAGAAATAGACAGGAAAGAGAAGTTGCTGAATTACAACTTATTACCAAACTTAAAACCATGGAGAGACCTGGTCTGAATAGAGACATTGGATTCTTATCTCATTATACATGAAAAAGTTATTTTTGGCCATCTCATCCCTTGCTTTTTCCTGTAAGACCAACTGCAATCGTTAACAGTCGTCAACTGGTTTACCACACCTACCAGCCAATCAAAGTGAGGAGGAATTAAAGAACCTTTTAATGAGGGTGAAAGAGGAGAATGCAAAATATGGTCTGAAGCTCAACATCAAAAAAACGAAGATCATGGCCACTGGGCCCATCACCTCCTGGCAAATAGAAGGGGAAGAAATGGAGGCAGTGAGAGATTTTACTTTCTTGGGCTCCATGATCACTGCAGATGGGGACAGCAGCCACGAAATTAAAAGACGCCTGCTTCTTGGGAGAAAAGCAATGACAAACCTCAATAGCATCTTAAAAAGCAGAGACATCACCTTGCCGACAAAGGTCCATATAGTTCAAGCTATGGTTTTCCCAGTAGTGATGTATGGAAGTGAGAGCTGACCATAAAGAAGGCTGATCGCCGAAGAATTGATGCTTTTGAATTCTGGTGCTGGAGGAGACTCTTGAGAGTCCCATGGACTGCAAGAAGATCAAACCTCTCCATTCTGAAGGAAATCAGCCCTGAGTGCTCACTGGAAGGACAGATCCTGAAGCTGAGGCTCCAGTACTTTGGCCACCTCATGAGAAGAGAAGACTCCCTGGAAAAGACCCTGATGTTGGGAAAGATGGAGGGCCCAAGGAGAAGGGGATGACGGAGGACGAGATGGTGGGACAGTGTTCTCGAAGCTACCAGCATGAGTTTGATCCAACTGCGGGAGGCAGTGGAAGACAGGAGTGCCTGGCGTGCTCTGCTCCAGGGGGTCACGAAGAGTCGGACACGACTAAATGACTAAACAACAACAACAACAACATTGTTTATCTGGAAATCATTCAATTTGGTTGCACACTTTTTTGATGTCTTTTATTTATTGTTCATGACCACTTGTTGTAATTAAGTAAATATTTTCATGTTGGAGTACCGCCTTGCGCATGGCTGTGAACTATGGAAAGGCAGCTTACAAATAAAACGATGATTAATTGGGGCAGTCCACATTTGGCCCCTGGATACAAGTTTCCAAATCACGGCTCTTAAGATGTCCATTTCCCATTCCAAAATGCAGGAGCTCCCTTTACCGCCCTCCCCCCCATGCCTACGTTTTTCATATTAGCAAGCAAAGTCTTTAAACAAGCGTACAGCATTATGGCGGTGAAATGCTATTAAATAAGATTACATTTGGATCGCATTAACAAAAAAATAAAATCTGGCGCTGAAACCATTAGCGGTGGAAAATATTTGTCGGAAGGAACCAGGTGACAGCTGGCATGATTAAATCCCCGCATTAAGCCAACATTAGTACTTTCCCCTGTCAATAGTGGGAGAGAGAGAGAAAAAAATATGGAACATTTGACAAGCAGGCATTTAGAATGTTCCAAGAAAGATCCATCAAAAGCAGAAGGAATATCCAAGGCAAGCGAAGAAGGCAGCTGGCTAGGGTGAATGGAGGAGGTGTGTGGTGGGCATCGCGGATGATGCAGCGAGCAGCGCACTGAAAGGGGCGCATGATGCCCCCGGGCTCCTTCCCCTGCCTTTGCAACATCCCAGCAGCGCACAGCAGGAAGAGCCCAGGTCACCTGGCCAGCGGCAAACGAATGCATCATGACACCTGGGACGGGGAATCGCTACGTAGGACGCATGTGCGGCATCGCTACATATGACGCATGCACCGTACATAGTGACGCTGCACATGCGCTGTACGGTTTGCCGACGGCGATCCTCCAGCGTCATACGGACGGTGCCAGGATCCTCTGCTCGCGGCTGTAGCTGCGAACGGAGGATCCTCTACATGCGGCTGTAGTGGCGACAGAGGGATCCCACTGCCGTCCGTATGGCGCTCGAGCGGTGCGGGTGGCAAACAACTATGTACAGCGCATGTGCGGCATCGTTACGTGCAGCGCATGTCAGTGTTTGAAAAAGAAAAGGTTCTGACCTCCTTTTTACTCCTTTGCCTAGTCCTCAGACCTTAGTTGGCACAAAAGAGTCTTTGAGATAGAGTATTCTTGCAGAGTATTGCTGCTTTTATTCTTGAAAAGTCTTCTTCTCCAACCATGACCGACAGCTTTTACACACACCGAACGGAACCAGCTTTCTACAATCCAACCAACCTACACCAAACACTAACATTGACCACTCTGTATATAAGGTGTAATTTGGTGAAAGGTTGCATGAGTCATTGTAGTTCTTTTAGCATTAAAGAAACAGCGGCCAAATTTTAGCCGTGACAGCACATGTGTGTGACGCCGCACATGCGCTGCACATAATGGTTTGCCGCTGGGATCCTCTGCTCGCGGCTGCAGCCGCAAACAGAGGATCCTCCACATGCAGCTGCAGTGGCGCGATGGCTGCTGGAGCTCCCGTGGGGTGCCTTCTTGTCACCCCTCCCCCCAGACATGGTACCCGGAGCGCACTGCCCCCCCCGTTGCGACGCCACTGCACCTGGCTTTTTCGCACACAAAAATTCCACCACTCGGGCTCCCACTACTTGCTTTACAAAATGCACCAGCACTCACCAATGTGCAGGGAGCAGCGCTTCCATTTTAACGAATTTGCGTATTATTAGTTTGCAAGGTTTCTCACCCGCCTTCCCCGGGACACCTTACAGCAGTGATGCTCAAAAGGTGTGAGAGGAAGATTCAAGGACAATCAAAGAAACACTTAAACTTTTTTAAGAAAATAAAAATATTTGCAGAATATGGATAGTGTTCTCTGTTATCAATCAAGCGCTGGTAGTTGTTGTTTCATTTTGCTTTCCAGCGTATTTCTTATCAATATCGGTGCAGTGCAAGCAAATGTTTCTCCTGAAAAGCGTGGCCCAGAGAAGGAAGTTTGAGAACTGTTGGCTTACAGCAACGTAATATACATATCAAACGGTTACGGTTATTTAAAAAACAACAAGCAGTTTCAACCAGAACAGAATACTTACCCAGCAAAAGAGGTGGGAGCCACTAAACAAAATATCTTAACTGCCAATTGACAGGGTAAAACAGAAACAGGGAGCAAGGCAGAGGGCCTTCTCGGTGGTGGCTCCCTCCCTGTGGAACACCCTCCCATCAGATGTCAAGGAGATAAAGAATTACACAACATATGTGAATTACTGGCATCTGAAGTCCGCCTATGACAAGGAAACAAGTCACAGTGCAGTTATGCATTTCAAATCACCAAGAGGGAATAATTAAAGATTATACGTAGAACGCCAGCATTTTCATTTCCCGGATCTTAAATATTAAGCTGTCCAGACTTCACGGTGCATTATGGCAGCTTTTAAATCCTAGTTCCATGCAACTTTGATGGTAATCAATAATAATGATAGCAGCAAGAATAATGCAGCTGTACACATATATAGATTTCTGCATAATGAGAGAATATTTATTTGGAGATATTTAAGATGCAAACACCCTGCGGATCAATATAGTCTAAGGAAGCAGCTCAAACGGTCACATTGATTCTCCTGCTGTTTTTCCTGTAAACGTGCAGGAGACCGAAATTCGAATGCTGCCTCTTGAGGAAAGAGAGAGCGGATTCCTTCCTTGTGCAACTGGAAGGGGCAACCTCTCTGGAGAAGCGGATTAATGGACGCCATAACCCAGAACTCATTAATTGAAAGCAGGAGCTATTTAATCTCTGCGATTCCTTATAAGGAATCTGGGGCCAGTGTGTTAGAGGGTTGGGGCGAGAATACTGGTATTTAAAATAATCTTTCTTTCTATTTGTTTACTCAAAAACCTACAAATCAATAACGCATTGAAGGAAACAAATAAAAAGGAAACAATACTCCATGAAAACTAAAATTGAACATACAAGATACAAAATTTGGTGACTCCATTCACATTTCCTAGGATGATGATGATGATTGCTATTGGGAAGTAGTGACATGTCCTTTGTCTTTTCTTTTTATCTGGTTTATAAATATCAGGGAACTGTCCCAGGGGTCTTCTTATATTGCCACTTGAAACTGTTGTAAACAAAAATCTGCCGTTTTCCCCTTATGGGGTATCCAAGAGCCCATATAGAGTCCTTACGTAGGTTCCCTATTGGTAGGAGAAAATAACAGAGGCCAACCAGAGAATATTGAGAAGCAAAGCAGCTAGTAAGTCTGATCTTTATGGATCTGTTGCAACAGGGTCCTCACTCACCACACGCAGGAGGGAGGAGGAACCCAGAACAATGGTGTGCAAGCCCTTATATAGACTTTTGAAATTGCCACCCTGTAGATCAAGACCTGACAAACCTAGACAGCATCTTAAAAAACAGAGACATCACCTTGCTGACAAAGGTCCATATAGTTAAAGCTATGGTTTTCCCAGTAGTGATGTAGGGAAGTGAGAGCTGGACCATAAAGAAGGCTGATTGCCGAAAAATTGATGCTTTTGAATTCTGGTGTTGGAGGAGACTCTGGAGAGTCCCACGGACTGCAAGAAGATCAAACCTATCCATTCTGAAGGAAATCAGCCCTGAGTGCTCACTGGAAGGACAGATCCTGAAGCTGAGGCTCCAATACTTGGGCCACCTCATGAGAAGAGAAGACACCCTGGAAAAGACCCTGATGTTGGGAAAGATGGAGGGCACAAGGAGAAGGGGACGACAGAGGACGAGATGGTGGGACAGTGTTCTCGAAGCTACCAGCATGAGTCTGACCAAACTGCGGGAGGCAGTGGAAGACAGGAGTGCCTGGCGTGCTCTGGTCCATGGGGTCACGAAGAGTCGGACACGACTAAACGACTAAACAACAACAAATATCCCCCAATGGACAGGCGCAAATTCTCTGGTCCTATGGGAGTTTTTTAAAGGATCCTTCCAAGACCGACGAGGGCAGAGCCGAGCTTCTGGCAAGTGTAAAAGCCCTTCTTGCATTTTTGGAGGGGGGGGCTTTTTGTTGATGTTGCCAAATGTTACACAACTGGGAGACCGATGCCCTTACTAAGCTGCTGCCAGTCACCATGAGATCTTTCTGTAGTACCTGATGTGCCTCCTGCCCAGCCCATCCTCCCAAAAAACTCAAGTGTGTGTTGTTGATGGATGAGGTGGAAGCAGTGGGGGCCTTGGAAGGAAGTGACCACGTTCCTCTTGGGATTCATTATACAGAGGAAAAGGAAAGCTGAATGCAGTCAGACGCACACTCTGGACTTCAGCAAAGCTGATTTCAAAAAGCGTTAAGAAACTACTGGGTGACATCCTGTTTAGGGAAGTTTTTAATGACTGATGTTTCAATGTAATGTTTCAATGTTTTGAATCTTTTGTTGGAAGCCGCCCAGAGTGGCTAGGGAAACCCAGCCAGATGGGCGGGGTATAAATAATAATAATAATAATAATAATAATAATAATAATAATAATTACAGTCATACCTTGGGTTACAGACGCCTCAGGTTCTGTTTTTTTGGGTTACAGACCGCCGAAACCCGGAAGTACCGGAACAGGTTACTTCCATGTTTCGGCGGTTGCGCATGCGCAGAAGCACTAAATCACACTTTGCGTAGAAGCGCCGAATCGCAACACGAGCATGCGCAAGTGCGCTGCTGCAGGTTGCGACTGTGCATCATGCACAGATCACGTTTCCAACCCGAGCGTCCACTGTATTATTATATCCCATGGTCAGAAATACTCCGAGTGAGGGTTGTACGTGGTGGGTGGGAGTTTCTTAAAAGCGAGATATCGAAGGCACAATCACAAATAATTCTAACAGGAAAGAAAAAAATGGGAGGCACGTCGGCAGAGGGGAAATTTGCCACCTGGGTCTTGTGTCTCCCCATGTGCTGGAACCCTGCATGTGGAGAAAAGGACGCACAAATAAAATTATGCTTGGAAGGCTCATGTAGGAACCTGCCTTGGGGCTACGAACTCCACCATGCCCAAGTCTCTTTGACAAGGAACAGACAACCATTGTTGATTCAAGACAACGACTCAGAGACGTGGCCATGGAAAAACACAAACACCCACCCACTCTCTTCCCTAGCCATTTGGATGTACTGGAAACCAATAACAGCAGTCAGCTGAGAGCAGAGGTTCCCAGTTGGTGGTCCGCAGACCCCAGGAGGTCCTTGTAATCCACGCAGGGAGTCCGTGGCACCATTCAGGAAACAAAAGCTTGTTGTTGTTTAGTCGTTTGGCTGTGTCCGACTCTTCGTGACCCCCTGGACCAGAGCACACCAGGCACTCCTGTCTTCCACTGCCTCCCGCAGTTTGGTCAAACTCATGCTGGTAGCTTCGAGAACACTGTCCCACCATCTCGTCCTCTGTCGTCCCCTTCTCCTTGTGCCCTCCATCTTTCCCAACATCAGGGTCTTTTCCAGGGAGTCTTCTCTTCTCAGGAGGTAGCCAAAGTATTGGAGCCTCAGCTTCACGATCTGTCCTTCCAGTGAGCACTCAGGGCTGATTTCCTTAAGAACGGATAGGTTGGATCTTCTTGCAGTCCATGGGACTCTCAAGAGTCTCCTCCAGCACCATAATTCAAAAGCATCAATTCTTCGGTGATCAGCCTTCTTTATGCTCCAGCTGTCACTTCCATACATCACTACTGGGAAAACCATGGCTTTAACTATACGAACTGTATATCAAAAATGTCAAAAGTCGGGGGTCCATGCCCTGGCTTTTGAAAAACAGGGGGTTCACAGTACTTAGCTAGAGGTAGTGACCTAGAGGTACGACGGGAACAGTCAGCTGATCCCAGTCCCTTAAAAGAGGTCACAGAGCTTGAATTCTGCTGGAAGGGTGAAAAGACAGAAAGTTCATCGCAAGGCCAAAGCCTTCAAGAGCCGTCAGTGCGCTTCAAAAACACCCATTGTTCCCGGAGTCAGCAAAATATAAAAATGATGCTGTAGAGCGAAAGACCCCCTTGCTTACAACATCTCTTGCTCTGGGGCATGCGCTGCTGTGACAGCAGCCCACAGCACAACAATATGCTTCAAAGAGGTAGGAGGTACCCTCACATTTCACTTTGAGCAGCCTCGCCCTTGGGTGAAACTGGCTCGCTCGTTGCCACATCGGAACGCGCAAGCAGACTTGGCAGAAACAATCCCCTGCAGCCATTCTGGGCAGCTGAGAAGCCCTGGGAATGGCTAAAACCTTTGTTTCGTTAAATTCCATCACATGGCTTTGTGCAGCCAATACGCCCTGTTGTTCTGGAGTGAAGGGTCAAGGCTTCAGAGGGCGGACAACGCATTTTCTCTTGCTCTCACATGCGTCACTGCAGAGACAAAATCTGATTGGCTCTGGCTTCATGACGTCATGGCAGTCGCTATGCTGCCCACCCTATTGGTTGTGAGGATGCAGTAAGAAAAACAATGCAATTCGAAAGATATAAAAACAAACAAGTACACTATGTGATGTTGATGGTTTGATGTCAAATTTAAAAGAAAATAGAGCATTTAGGTAAAAAGAGTATGAATCTAAAATATATTAAAATATGCAGAATGAGAAAATATTTTTAAAAAACACAGAAGGGGAGGCTGAGGGAAGTCACTGAGTGGGTGGAGGCGGAAAGGGGATGTATGTTTATTTCCCTTTGTAATTTATGTTGATCATAACATTAAAAAATGTTTTTAAAAAACCACAATGCAATTTGAAAGCACTGGATGATCTTGGAAATAAGGGGTCACATGGCTTAGCGCCACCTCAATGGCTCCCAGGGAGGAGACTGCAGCCTCTTTGCTCCTCACTGGACTTTTTGGATCAGTGTGGCACAAGCAGCTAAACCAAGGTTGTTTGAACCCAGAGCCATGGTTATGCTCTCCTCCTCAACCGCAATCTGGAGCCAAGGTTCATCCTATGGTTACAGGTAGTGACTAAGGAGCAGAGACCTTAACTACGACCCTGAGTTTGGGCGATATGCTTAGCTGTCGTCCCACAAAGACCTAGAATGACCAGGGAGGAGCAACGTGGTTGTGAGATCCTTGCTGGGAGGCAGCATGTTCACATGGTCACAGTAAGCAATGGTGTGGCTCACTGCAATGTGCAAACCAAGCCAATAGGCTGCATGCAGCAATGAAAAGCATTCCCCAAAGTGAAAGCAATAAAGATTTGGGAATGTTTTCCCCAAAGATTTGGAAATGTTTTTCCCAGAAGGAAAGATTTTCACGTCCAAAATGTTTGAGGGCCAATAGAAATCTCTATGTGGGACGAGAAGCAACAGTTACAACTGATTGGTTCTGAATTGGGAAAGGAGTACGACAAGGTTGTATATTGTCTCCCTGCTTATTTAACTTATATGCAGAATACATCGTGAAAGGCTGGACTGGATGAATCCCGGAAGAAATATCAACAACCTGAGATATGCAGATGACACAATCTTGATGGCAGAAAGTGAGGAGGAATTAAACAACCTCTTAATGAGGGTGAAAGAGGAGAGCACAAAATATTATCTGAAGCTCAACATCAAAAAAACTAAGATCATGGCCACTGGTCCCATCACCTCCTGGCAAATAGAAGGGGAAGAATGGAGGCAGTAACAGATTTTACCTTCTTGGGCTCCATAATCACTGCAGATGGTGACAGCAGTGACAAAATTAAAAGATGCCTGCTTCTTGGGAGAAAAGCAATGACAAACCTAGACAGCACCTTAAAAAGCAGAGGCATCACCTTGCTGACAAAAATCCGTATAGTTAAAGCTATGGTTTTCCCAGTAGTGATGTATGGAAGTGAGAGCTGGAGCATAAAGAAGGCTGATCGCAGAAGAATGGATGCTTTTGAATTATGGTGCTGGAGGAGACTCTGGAGAGTCCCATGGACTGCAAGAAGATCAAACCAATCCATTCTGAAGGAAATCAGCCCTGAGTGTTCACTGGAAGGACAGATCCTGAAGCTGAGGCTCCAATACTTTGGCCACCTCATGAGAAGAGAAGACTCCTGGAAAAGACCCTGATGCTGGGAAAGATGGAGGGCACAAGGAGAAGGGGACGACAGAGGACAAGATGGTTGGACAGTGTTCTCGAAGCTACCAGCATGAGTTTGACCAAACTGCGGGAGGCAGTGGAAGACAGGAGTGCCTGGCGTGCTCTGGCCCATGGGGCACGAAGAGTCGGACACGACTAAACAACAGCAACAAATTTGGCACCACTGCAGGTACTTCCATTTAATTTTAGATTTTCAATTCCAACACTGCAGTGATCTTTTTTGACATTAATGGCTCTATTTTTTGCTCCTCCTTCATTGCATCCAGTGGCCAATTAAAATGTGTGTCATTTATTATTTGATTTACTGCATTTATAGCCCAACTTTTCCTCCAAGGAGCTAAAGGCGCCATACATTATTATCCCCTCCTCATTTAATCCCCACAACAACCCTGTGAGGTAGGTTAGGCTGAGAGGCAGTGACTGGCCCAGGGTCACCCAGTGAACTTCATGGCTGAGCGAGGATTTGAACCCAGGTCTCCCAGGTCCCAGTCTCTAACCACTACACCACAATGCTTCTCACAAAAACAACACAAATCTTTATTTACTAGCCTGATTCAGGTAACAGTTGATAATAAAGTGCGTTTGGGGAAGAGAATACTATTAAGGTGAGTGAATGTTCCCTTTGTACTACAGACCTATATGTCAACAGCACTACGTGAAATAATTTAATACACAAGCTATTGTTTCATATGTCATTAAGGAATTTGGGCTCTGACTAGTTGTGAGTGACTGTGCGTGCGTGGAAAAATCAAACAGTGGCAGGAAAAACTAAAATATATACAGCCAACTGCGTGCCCTATTCCATTCAGACCTATTACCACTGGGAGGTTTTACACTCAAGTCTTGAATTAAATGTCAAATATAATTTGCTGCCGGAAACAGGGGAGCGTGTCTGTGCCCTCGGGGGAATTTCTGACAGACCAGCTCTGTGCGCTGCACTTAGCTTCTGCCAGGAGGAGAGCGGATGCCACGGACCTCTCCGGATGAAAAATGAGGGCACCTGCAGCAGAAACGTGGGGCTGCCACTGTTTCCTCGTTAACAAGTTGAGGCGCAAGCAGAGGAAACGGTCACTGGCCAGAGTTTGAGTCTTCCCTCGCTCATTTTGGTAACAACAGGCAGTTGACTTTGAGGGTCTGCTTCAAGAGATATACCACTGCAGAAAGCTACTGCTGGTGGATCGGTCTATTTCATTGTAAATGGTTGTTACAATTGTGTAAAGACATGAGAATTCCTGTCAAATGTCCAATCCAGGTTTATCAGGACAACAAAGCATGTTTGGCTTTGCTGACTTCTGAAGGTTGTAAGCAAAGCACGAAGCACTTGCAGTTGAAGCTGCAACATGCTAGAGAATGTGTTCAGAAAGGACTCGTAACGGTGTCCTACATGCCAGGTAATGAAATTCCTGCTGATTTATTGTCCAAGGTTGTTCCAAAGGATCAACACTGTACCTATGTACAGAAACTGGGTTTGTATTGAGATTGTACATGACACACTGCCCATGCCCAGTGGTGTTTACAGAAAGGGGGAGAATGTTAGGTTTCTGTGTGTTGCCACTGTGCAGTGCTTTGAGTCACCAGACTCTGTTTACATTCCATAGACATTCCAGGCTGTTGGAAGTCTCACGGAAGACAGGAGACGGATGTGATGTTACTGGTATCCTTTGTTTTCCTTTGTTTTTCTGTTGCTCTCTGTCTTTCACAGAGAGAGGATGATTTCTTTTCTGTCTGCGTAGTTAGCAATAAAGTCTTTGCAATGTAGCTCATAAATCTCGTCACTTCTGCTGCTTTGATACTCTGCGTGATGGGGAACATGCCTGGAAGCTTATCAAAGGCTAAGGTCGTTAATTATCGTCGGAGGTGATTCCGAAGGACTCGACCGGAGGAGTCGCTCAGTCAAACGCAAGTCCGACATCTGAACCTGTTGGTTTGAGTCTTATGCCCTTGAGCAGAGCGGACTTGACGAATTTTGGGGTGGCCCTCAGCAACATTTGATGCCCTTCCCAGCCTTTTGTGCTGCCTTCCCAAAGCCAGGTAAGGGAGGAACTAGGCTTTGGGAAGGAGGTGGGATGGTTCTGGCAGGGTCCTAGAGTCTCTGACAGGGTCTGAGAGTCCTGACGCCTCCTTCCCAAAGCCTAGTTAGAGCTTTCCCAGCTTTGGGAAGGAGACGGGAGGGCTCTAGGAGCCTGCCAGAGCCTTGCGCCTCCTTCCCAAAGCCCAGCACCTCACTTAGCCTGCTTTGGGAATGCATCGCTAGGGGCATGTGTCAAATATTGGCCATGCTCTCTCCCACCCCCACCCCCAAACAACACAGTGTGTGGCCTGTGGGTTCTGCAAATTCTTGCAGCCCACTTGGTACGGAAAGTTGGACCGCCCTGCCCTGGAGAAACAGATAGCAAATGCTTACAGGAAATCCCAGAGCAGGATCCGAGCGCAAGACGACTTTTCCCACCAACTGGTAATTGGATTAGTGCTGCTGTCATGACTAGTAGCCACTGGGAACCTAACCAGTACATCAGTCTAATCCATTCTATATCAGGTGTGGGGAACTTTAGGCTGAACTACAACTCCCATCAGCCCTTGCAACCGTGGCCAATGGCCAGAGATGATAAGGAGCTGTAATTCAGCAACACTGGGAGGGCCAAGGATTCCCCAGCACCTGCTGCAAGAGCAGTCCTGCCAAGCCAGGCCGCAACTTGGGAAGCCTTTCCTGCCCACGGGGAGGTGTCCCAACCTGAAGCCCAGGTGACTCACCGCCACATGAGACAGTTGCATGCAGAGTACCAGGGTTCCGCTTCCAGCCCTGGATGCAGCAAAATGAATGCAAAGCCCATCCGGGAAGGAGCCTGGTTTTTTTGTTGCCTGCTTGGGAGGGGGCTGCTAAGCACCAGGAGGGCAGAAAAGCCGCACTGAGATTGACGGGTGACGAACAGAGGAGGTCAGTGCTAAGCAAACATTAAATGGATAGTTAAAGATGGGATGCAAATGAGGCCAGTTCTACCACTTTTTTTAATGCAGCCGTTTCCAAAAAAAGGAAAGGAGAGGTGCCCTCTAAATTTGGAAGCTAAGATGCATCTCGCAGCAGCGCCCGAGAGAGTCAACACTCCCCCTTGTGAGGGTTCACGGCTGTTCATGCAAGGGAGTGGAGCTGCAGACAGACTGGAGCATAGTTAGCAACTTCATCTGAGGGTTCTGCCAAATTAGGAAAACCTTCCGTCAGCGCCGTGTCTCCGTGGGTGTTCTCAGCAGTGATGGAAAGGAGTATATTTAGACAGTGTTTTGACACTGTTACTTAAAGCAAGGTTAACATTGTGGAACAATCACTCATTACGGCTCATCTAGGAGCCCCGAGAAAGAGGATTTGGGGATCTCCCGTTTCAGATGCTCAGCCACCGAGAGCAGGGGAAAGAGGGGAGGGTCTGTGCTAATGGAGGGTCTCAAGCTCACAGGGTTGGACAGCAGCTCAATTTAGGGGGCATTATTTGGTCCTGCTATTTTGTCTCCGGGATGTGCTTCCTTGCAGGCTGCAGGCTCACCTCTGGCAGGGAAGTGGGAGATAGGGAAGAGTCCATGACGGGCAAAGCCAGTGCTTTTCCCCCCAGCAGGGACTCAAGGGGATGAATTACCCGCACCTCTTTTTGTTATTGTTAAAAAGTGTGGCACTTATTGTGACAATTTCATGGTGAGTACGGGCACCTATTTATATATTTTTTAGAACAAAAGCACTGGGAAAAGCCCATTCAGAGAGAGGGTCTTGAGGCAAAGTCAACACGGAGGGAGGGCAGGCACTTTCCAGCAATGTTATAGGCAGAGGAAGGGCAAGGCTGATAAGAAATCCACAGCGGGTCTGCTCCAAAGAGAAGGAAGAGCCAAAGAGGAAGAGAAGAGCAAAGGGGGCCTGTCAACCTCCTTCCCACTGCAAAAATACTACGCTAACCAGAGAGTTGTCCATGTTTGAAACCCGTGTAAGCGGCCTAATGCTTTGAAAGTGTTGTACATGTATTTAAGACAGGGCCTGCCCCCAGGCTCACAAAAGGAAAAAGGAAAGGAGAGAGAAGAGAAACGCAAGTGTTTCATCGGTTGCTCCTTCACTGGCTGCTCGTCTCCCCTTTGCCCTGATGTTCTCCCTGGAGGCAAATGGTACAGAGTGTTAGGATCGTCCTACTCTCGTGTAGGACCCTGGTAGAGACACATGCCCGACTGGCATGTTCCCTCCCTCCTGGTCGGTCGTTCGGGAGCTTCAAAAGCTTTCTTCAGCCCGAAAATCATAGCGACTGATGCACACTCAGGGATCCGCAGAGTATTCGCAGTTTGAGTAACAGAACTCAGTAGCACAGCATTTTGGCTAATGTACAGTGGTGCCTCGCAAGACGAAATTAATCCGTTCCGCGAGTCTCTTCGTCTTGCGGTTTTTTCGTCTTGCGAAGCACGGCTATTAACGGCTTAGCGGCTATTAGCGGCTTAGCGGCTATTAACGGCTTAGCGGCTATTAACGGCTTAGCAGCTTAGCGGCTTTAAGAAAAAGGAAACAAACTCGCAAGAACTCGCAAGACGTTTCGTCTTGCGAAGCAAGCCCATAGGGAAATTCGTCTTGCGGAACGACTCAAAAAACGGAAAACTCTTTCGTCTAGCGAGTTTTTCGTCTTGCGAGGCGTTCGTCTTGCGGGGCACCACTGTACTTTATTTACATATAATACACTCTGCCTTAGCTCCTTCTCCTTTCTCATCAGACAGCATAAAGAGAAAGAACAAAGGACTATAGTCCCGCCTCACAGAACACAGTAACATAAACATCCTGTCTCCATCACTTCCCACACTGTGGAATGAAAACATACACCGCCATGTGATAGACAACAATCTCATGACTGCAAACACGGAGCAGGAATCTTAACACAGAGCTCCTGGCCAATGGCTGTGGCCTGAGACCACCTCTGAGGGTTGGCGCAGAGCATTCATCCTGGCAAGGTTGGGAGAAATCAAGATCCCTGCAGTTACTCCATCCCAGGCCAACGGATGAGGCCAAGTTGGTCTCCCTCTTTTTTGAGATGCCCTTCCTGGGAAGGAAGATGGCCACTAGCCCCAGGTTTCCTGGCTGGTGGGCAGCAGAGGCCACCGTAACCCCCTTAAACTCTGAATTCATCCCTACACAACCTAGAGCCCACCTTCATAATTGTAGGCCTTAGTAATACTGATCTCTAAGATTTGACCCACACGGGGCATCAAACGGGAGTCAGAGAGGGCACGTTAGCGGTGAAAATTACTTCTTCCCCCTCCCATGTGAGAAACAGTTGAAACAGAAGCATTTTTATTTTTCAAATGTACCCCGATTAAAAAAACATATAGCGCCACTACTAGAAAATTAGACAGCAGGCAAAAAAAGGGTGAAGAGATGTTTACTGTGGCTGCTCCCAATGACTCAAAACTCCTACACAAATTCAGCCGCCAGAGTTAAATGTGAAGCTTTAACCTTATGTCAGAAGACCACAATTTAGCAATTAGTTTCATTGGATGACCCCAGAGTCTAATATTATGAAACACAGAGAAGCTTCTCTCGATCCACTTTCTCCACACGATGCCTAATTTTCTGCTGCTCTATCGTGTCCTGGCTTATTCACCATTTTTCTTAAACAAGAAAACCCAAAACAGGACAACACTTCCTCATAGTTGTTCCAACCCCTCGGTCGTTTTGGTTGCCCCTTTCTTATAACCTTTTCCAGCTCTGCAATATCCTTTTCTGAGGTGTGGCTACCAAGAACTGCATTACAGCGCTGCTGCACACTGCGTTGACTTTTCATTCAGTCACCCACTAAGAACCCAAAATCTCATTCCTGGGCAGTCACTGTCAGCTCAGACTTGAGTACGTAGTGTGAAGCTAAGGAGTTTTCACCCCAATGCGCATCGCTTGGCACCTGCCATTTTATGGTTGTTGTTGTTGTTTAGTCGTGTCCGACTCTTTGTGACCCCCTGGACCAGAGCACGCCAGGCACTCCTGTCTTCCACTGCCTCCTGCAGTTTGGTCAAACTCATGCTGGTAGCTTCGAAAACACTGTCCAACCATCTCATCCTCTGTCGTCCCCTTCTCCTTGTGCCCTCCATCTTTCCCAACATCAGGGTCTTTTCCAGGGAGTCTTCTCTTCTCATGAGGTGGCCAAAGTCTTGGAGCCTCAGCTTCAGGATCTGTCCTTCCAGTGAGCACTCAGGGCTGATTTCCTTCAGAATGGATAGGTTTGATCTTCTTGCAGTCCATGGGACTCTCAAGAGTCTCCTCCAGAATTCAAAAGCATCCATTCTTTGGCGACCAGCCTTCTTTATGGTCCAGCTCTCACTTCCATACATCACTACTGGGAAAACCATAGCTTTAACTATACAGACCTTTGTTGGCAAGGTGTTGTCTCTGCTTTTTAAGATGCTGTAGTGGCTCCCAAACTTTTTCCTCCACAGACCACCCGAAAATTGCTGAGGATCTTTGGCAGGTGATTTTTCTGCCTGCTGCAGATATTTAATTGTATTTTTATGGTTTCTTTTATTTCTTTTGTATTGCATTTCATTGCATTGCAATTTGGATCCCACAGTATTCAAATCTGTATTGCAACAACATGCAAAATACTAAGAAATAAAAGAAGTGATAAAATCTAATTTAAAATCAATATGGATATTTCGCGTGGAAGGTTTGCCATCTCCCGTCTTCAGCCACAAATCCAGAGACACACACCACACCACCAAAATGAAACTCAAGGAGTACGGTTTGGACCCTGAACTGAGCAGCTTGCTCCTAATTCAGCCACCTGGTCTTGTCCTCTGCTCATTTTGTCAGTACATCCAAGAGCAAGGAGAAAATCCCCCTGATGCAAGCAGAAAAAGAAAGACGCGTCCGCCGCAAATGTGTGACCATTTGCAAAGCCTTTTGAAACCAGGTAGGATCAAAGCTGCCACTCTGAGTGCCACATGCCATTAAGCAAGAGGGGGGAAGTCGACAGGCTCAAATATAAAGCACTCAAGCCCCACTCTCCTTGTCAGCATTCCGCTCTTGAAAAATCACCTTCTTAACAAGCTCGCCTGCAAAAGCAAAACCCTCTCCAAAGGCTCCCTCGCATCTCATCTGCATAAGCGAAGATTTCCAACTCCGCAGCACCCTCAGCTCGCCAGCTTGGGGGGAGCTGCCTAGCAAAGCCCCCCTGTTCCCAAACTCCGTTCCTTCTGTTATAAGAATTCTAAGGCCCCAAATATAAAATAGGTGTTCATAAATTTGCAAGGCAAACACATAGTAAAGGTAAAGGGACCCCTGACCATTAGGTCCAGTCGTGGCTGACTCTGGGGTTGCGGTGCTCATCTCGTTTTATTGGCCGAGGGAGCCGGCGTACAGCTTCCGGGTCATGTGGCCAGCATGACTAAGCTGCTTCTGGTGAACCAGAGCAGCGCACGGAAACGCCGTTTACCTCCCCACCAGAGCGGTACCTATTTATCTACTTGCACTTTGACGTGCTTTCGAACTGCTAGGTTGGCAGGAGCAGGGACCGAGCAACGGGAGCTCACCCCGTCACGGGGATTCGAACTGCTGACCTTCTGATCGGCAAGCCCTAGGCTCTGTGGTTTAACCCACAGCGCCACCCGTGTCCCACATGCCTCTACATAGCTCCATCCCAAGGCAAACACATATGTAAGTATATAAACCACGTGTCTAAAACGGTATAGGAGAGCAATCCTGAAGTCATTTTGACTCTCCTAGTGACCTCAAATATTCCTCTGGAAGGAGGAAGGAAATGGGAAACCTCTCCATTGTCTTTTGCTTACCCGTCCTGAGGGCATATGTGTGTATGAATAGGGTGAGCCTGTGACCTGGGTTCAGGAATTAAAGTATTTACCATCACAAAAGAATGGCCGGGCTGCGCAGGTAATGCAACCATCGACCATTATCAGTTATCCTGGCAGACAGGATTTCTGCTGTAGACGGCCTCTTTCTGTAATGTATGTATGATGTTTGGGGGGTGGTCTCTGGCTACAGGGTAGGCAACTTCAAAAGTCTATATAAGGGCTTGCGCACCATTGTTTGGGGTCCCTCCTGCCTTTTGCGTGTGGCAGTGAGTGCCCTGTTGCATTAGTTAATAAATACCAGGCTTACTAGCTGCCTTGCTTCTCAATATTCTCTGGTTGGCCTCTGTTATTTTCTCCTTTCGATAGGGAACCAACTTAAGGACTCTAAACAGGCTCTTGGATACCCCATAAGGGAAAACTTATAACACTCCAAACAGCTGCAAAGGAGGTCACTTGCAAGAAATGTTCCATGTTGGCAGTTTAACCAGGCCACAAGGCCAAAGCACTTGCACGAAAGGAGGCTGAAACAGATTTCGCCACAGAAATACAACAGTCGTTTTCAGGACAAAAACATCTTTTTCACAAGAGATTCAGGGACCAACAGCTCTGCTGTTTTAAGGTTTTACGGGCTTCTGCGGTGCTTTGGTACTGCATCTTCAAACAGAATTTCTGCTTGGTGGCAGAGCATCTAATCACGAACAATTTCCACAGCAATAGTAAAGCAAACCTCTAGCGCATTGAAATTACATTTCAATGTGTGGAACGGGTACCATTTGCACGAACCTGAACGTATCAAATGCATTCACTCAGCAGTGCAAAATGTAGAAGGCTTTGAACGATGTGTTCTGCAGCCTCTCTCCAAAACTGCAGGCTAAGAACCGCCCCCCCAAGAAAACCCTAATAATCAGAGAACTGTGCTGGGAACCCCCACTAGCTTTGGGACTAGTCTCTCCCCTCATGTACGAAACCTTGCTTTTACCTGAGAGATTCAGCTCCAAGGAAATATTGAAAAATCAAGCAGAAATCAAGTAGCTCAAGGTAAACTTAACCCACGCCAGAAGTTTGTTCTGGAGTTATGAATTGTTCAATTCTACAATTACCAAGCATTTAACAATGGCCAAATATACCACTTGAAATTCAACTTACTGAAAATATTTATGAATCAGCTGTAAATCATAGATCTCTAAGCAATTTATAACAAAATGGAATCCAGAAAAACATACATCTTTGATGGAACAGCAGAATACCAAAAGTGACTGGGTAAAAATTAACATTCCTAGCAGGGAGGGAACCGCCAGAAGGCCCTCTGAGCAGGACCTCAGTGTCTACCTGACTTTTTAACACTGATCTACACCAGTTCCCCAATTTGTTCAAGGTGTTACCATGGGTATATAAAGCCCTTAACAGGGCAGCAATATATTATTCAATGGTTTAGTTAAGCATGCTATCAACTGAGTAAATTTTCATTTAACTATACGCATCAATGAGAAGAGAAGACTCCCTGGAAAAGACCCTGATGTTGGGAAAGATGGAGGGCACAAGGAGAAGGGGACGACAGAGGACGAGATGGTTGGATAGTGTTCTCGAAGCTGCCAACATGAGTTTGACCAAACTGCAGGAGGCAGTGGAAGACAGGAGGGCCTGGCGTGCTCTGGTCCAGGGGGTCACGAAGAGGCGGGCACGACTAAACAACAACAACCACATACGCATCAAATTTAGATTTTTATTTCTTTCAATATTTCCCCAGGTCATTATAAGCTCCAGCCTCATTTCAGACATTGCGATATATCGAGATATTGCAATGTTTAGCTGGCGATATATCGTGATACTGAAAACCAGATATGGCCCAGCCCTATGTCTGCCGCCATCCTTTCCACTGTGATGGATGTTCTCTTCTGAGATCTTATTTCTGAGGCAGGAGGGCACCTCCAAAAGCTCAGCCAGGGAGGTTGCTGGCCTGAACAATCCCAGTTAGAGCACCAGGCAGCTTGGAAGCCCTCAACCTGGCAGTGCCAACAAAGGCAATATGCAAATGCCGCAGATAAAGCAAAGGGCCCTCTGAAAACTGTGAGAACCAGCTTGTTCCGACTGCAAAGCTCTTTGGAGTCCTTCCAGCTTTAAAGTGCTACAAAATGCACATTCCTGAAAAATAAATCCTTTTGATACGGATCTGCAAGATAAACATACAGAGTTCTTGCCAGCACTCCAGTCCTCCCCAGAGAGCCCCACCGATTCAGGCGGCGGAGTTAAAAACATCCAGGGGCATGCAGGCGTGCCAGCATTTATAGAGTCACCTTAAACCCGCATTTAATTTGTGTTTTTGGAAGGCGTTAGGAAAAGTGTAGGAAGCTCTTTCCTGTCAGCTTAAATATTGCAGGTGGTGGCGGCGGAGGGGGCGGTCAGCGCTAGGCAGCAGATCTTTCTCAAAGAAATAAGGCAGGCCAGTTCCCCCACTCATCTATCCTCGCCTTGGCGCCCAGCCTACAGAAACAAGACATCTTGCCACCATCGCGTAAACAGAATTCTTTTTATGGGGAAAAAAGGAAACAGAAATCTGGACTGAGATTTCAGGGCAAAAGAGCTTTCCTTCACCTTTCTGTTTAGGCTACATACTTCCACCTCCTTTTCAAAGCAGATTTGGTCCACACTGAGGCCTCCTAAGTGTTACATCACCTTACCAACAAAAATCCGTATAGTTAAAGCCATGGTTTTCCCAGTAGTGATGTATGGAAGTGAGAGCTGGACCATAAAGAAGGCTGATCGCCGAAGAATTGATGCTTTTGAATCATGGTGCTGGAGGAGACTCTTGAGAGTCCCATGGACTGCAAGAAGATCCAACCTCTCCATTCTGAAGGAAATCAGCCCTGAGTGCTCACTGGAAGGACAGATCCTGAAGCTGAGACTCCAGTACTTTGGCCACCTCATGAGAAGTGAAGACTCCCTGGAAAAGACCCTGATGTTGGGAAAGATGGAGGGCACAAGGAGAAGGGGACGACGGAGGGCGAGATGGTGGGACAGTGTTCTTGAAGCTACAAACATGAGTCTGACCAAACTGCGGGAGGCAGTGGAAGACAGGAGTGCCTGGCGTGCTCTGGTCCATGGGGTCACGAAGAGTCGGACACGACTAAACAACAACAAGAGGCCTCCTAAAACTTACCACGGGGTTGACAATCTGCAACTGACAACTAGGGGCTGCTGTCAGGGTGCCAAGTCACCCACAGAAGGCAAGGGTGATGCAGCCATAGCAGAAGCTGCAGGAGCCCATGGGTTCAGTTGCTTCAGAAATGTGATTACTAATAAAATAATAATGATAAAATTTTATTTATATCCCGCCCTCCCCAGCCAAAGCCGGGCTCAGAGTGGCTAACAACAATAAAAGTAACACAGCATTCTAAAATCAATTCATTCTAAAATCCATTCAAAATCAAATTAATGGCAACCATTGGGCTAGAGTTCTGTGAGGATTACCAAAGGAGGGGGTCAGACTGTGCCTTGGCCAAAGGCGTGGTGGAACAGTTCCGTCTTGCAGGCCCTGCGGAAAGATGTCAAGTCCCGCAGGGCCCTAGTCTCTTGTGACAAGAACGTTCCACCAGATCAGGGCCACAGCCGAAAAAGCCCTGGCTCTGGTTGAGGCCAGCCTAACCTCTCTGTGGCCTGGGACTTTCAAAATGTTTTTATTTGAAGACCGTAAGTTTCTCCGTGGGACATACCAGAAGAGGCGGTCCCGTAGGTACGAGGGTCGTAGGCCGTATAGGGCTTTAAAGGTTAAAACCAGCACCTTAAACCTGATCCTGTACTCCACCAGGAGCCAGTGCAGCTGGTATAGCACCGGGTGAATGTGATCCCGCGGCGAGGACCCTGTAAGGATCCACATGTCTGGATCCACATGTCCTTCCACAGTGGGGACGTAGGTTTACGGGCGGGAGTTGATCATGGTGTGGATTTGCCAAGTGTGCCTTCCTCTTAGCACGTTTCTCCCTTTTGTCCTGAGTTCGAGCATCTTCAAAGCCCAGGACACCTTTGGGAAAGGCTGTTCTCCAAGTGGAGCACTCACAGGCCAGTGTTTCCCAGCTGTCGGTGTTTATACTACATTTTTTTAAGATTTGCCTTGAGACAGTCTTTAAACCTCTTTCGTTGACCACCAGCATTATGCTTTCCATTTTTAAGTTAGGAATAGAGTAGTTGCTTTGGAAGAAGAAAATCTGGCATCTGCACAACATGACCAGTCCAATGAAGTTGTTGAAGAATCATTGCTTAGACACCAATGATCTTTGCTTCTTCCATCACCCCCAGAACCACCTTGTGGTCACTCATGCCCACCTGTAGGTCTGACTCTGACCTACAGGTCACAATCCTATCTGATGCCAGCAGACATGAATTCTGCCAGCGTACAAACTGAAGACGCATCTGAATGGATCCGCTGCCAAGCTTGCCCTGCAACACACAGGCAGGTAACCGTTTTGAATTTTTGTTCCCTTGGCAACTTGAGAATGTTTGTACTTACCTGCAAGTCTGAATCGCATGCATACAAATGCAGGCATCTGTGCATAATCACTGCGAGGCAATGCGCACCCCCTTTCGCGTGTTTGTACAATAGGATACAGATTAGCATACACACATCTGCCCCTGAGGTGCACAATGAAAGGCGCAGGGGGGGGGGAAGGCTGCCTTGAGTGACAAGTTTATGCCTCGGCAATGATGGAATTGCTGCGTCCTGCCCTGTAGCAGTCGCAACAGACTGCTCAAGAGTAGAGAGCGCCTTAAGAGGGGGGGAAAGGGAAGACTTGCAGCAGCGGCAGGTTGAATATTCATGGCGAGGGGGTTTAATAAGAAATGCGAGATTGAATCTTTCCTACAGGGACGCACTCTTTGCTCGAGTACAAGCTCCAGGATTCTGCAGGTGGGAAAATTAATCCAAATCCTACATACCACATTCCCAGAGGTACAGCTAATACGGGGCTTGTGGATGTATGCATATTCATCCTTTATGTAAAAAGAGGCAGCTCCAGGGCTCAGTTTCTTACCAAACTGAAACGCCACCAGAAACTTTGCATTTAACATGGTGGTTCTCAGCGGCTCCTGCTCAGTTTTATGGGACCAAATGAAATCCAATGCAGCTGGGAGGCTGTGGCTCAGTGGGAGAATGTGTGCTTTGTACACAGGAGCCCCCAAGTCCAGATCCCTGACATCTCCCGCTAAAATGGTTTAGGTAACAGAAAATGAGAATGCCAGCCTTAACCAGCCACAATGCGCACAGCTGTTGGGCAGTGGGTAAAATCTGCCCTCTATGAAAGACCTGGGGAAGTTTGAGCCCATTCCAGTAAAGGTAAAGGTAAAGGACCCCTGGACGGTTAAGTCCAGTTAAAGGCGACTATGGGATTGCGGTGCTCATCTTGCTTTCAGGCCAAGGGAGGCGGCATTTGTGCACAGACAGCTTTCAGGGTCATGTGGCCAGCAGGACTAAACCGCTTCTGGCACAACAGGACACCGTGACAGAAGCCAAAGCACATGGAAACACAGTTTACCTTCCCGCCACAGTGGTACCTATTTATCTACTTGCACTGGCATGCTTTCGAACTAGGTTGGCAGGCGTTGGGACAAAGCAACGGGAGCTTACCCCGTCGCGGGGATTCGAATCACCGACCTTCCGATCAGCAAGCCCAAGAGGCTCAGTGGTTTAGACCACAGTGCCACCCATGTCCCCATTTTTAACTCCTTTTTTACTATTCCAGTGGCATCCCTGGGCACTTACTTTTATTTTCTCCCAAAGAGATGAAAGGCTTCCATTGATTCCAACAGGCAAAACTGACCATTGCATTTGAGGATACTTTTGAAGAGGGGGTGAAACCTGTACAAGAAACTCCATAGGCTGGGGTGGATTTTGGAGCCCCACAGATGGGTGGAGTCAGATATGTGAGCAAGTCCTTGCAAGCCCTTTGCGGTGAGGGTGATAAAGGCAAATATTTTGCACACGCTCAGTATAAAAGAATGTGCATATATGTAAATATTCCATGTTAATCGCTTGCTGGCTACTGCACATGTCATGGGTTTTGCCCCTAAGCTTCCTAAACGCAAGGTCACAGCATTGAATGCACCAGGAGAGCTTGCACAACGCATACACATTTCTAAATATTTGGATCAGTCCCCAGCTCTGAGGGAGTAGAGAATATCTGTGTTCAGATTGCTCACCCTTTACAACCACATTGTTAATAAATGGATGCTTGGGACGGAAGGGAGGGAATCAGCTCCTCAGCATTAATAGGCCAGAACACCCGGATTTAGCAAATGTGTGCATAACTCTAGCCACATGAATAATCCCTATTACATTCAGAGGAATTACTTGCCTGGAGAAACCTGGCATGCTTTCTGCATAATCTGCCAGAGCTGGCAAATCTGCAAAGCTACAAATAAGTCTTTGTTGTGATTTTACGTAGCACCATAAACGTTTGCGATGCTTTACTAAGCAAATTAAGCAAAAATGGCAGAGGCCTCCGTCCCCCGATGAGTATGCAATCCAAGTTTCATCAGCCTAGACAGGCAGAGTATAAATTAAAAAAAAATGTTGTTGTTGTTAATATATATAAAGGGAAGCTATACGAGGTATGCTTCATGTTGGCTCTGGGTGGAAACTGAGGGGTTAAAAGGTGGACCTTTTATTTTTCCGAAGGGGGTGCGGACAACGCTTTGGAGCTCCCAAGCCGCAAGGTGGTTAGCTTGGTCTCAACTAGGGCCAGGACCTTTTCAGTACTGGCCCCGACTTGGTGGAACGCTCTGGGGAAAACAATAGGGGGAAACAAACAAACAAAAACAAAACCAGTTTATTAAAGTAGGGGTTAAAATGCTATTTTAAATGCAGCCTCATTTTAATAGTAGCCTATAAATCAAAACCATAAGGGGAGGGAAACTGAGACTGAGTCCAAACCAAAGGCCAGGCGGAACAGCTCTGTCTTGCAGGCCCTGCAGAAAGATGTCAAGTCCCGCAGGGCCCTAGTCTCTTGTGACAGAGCGTTCCACCACGTCGGGGCCAGTGCTGAAAAGGCCCTGGCCCTAGCTGAGACCGATCTAACCACCTTGCGACCTGGTACCTCCAAAGTGTTGTCATTTGTGGACCTTAAGGTCCTCCGTGGGACATACCGGCAGAGGCAGTCCCGTAGGTACAAGGGTCCTAGGCTGCGTAGGGCTTTAAAGGTCAAAACCAGCACCTTAAACCTGACCCTGTACTCCACCGGGAGCCAGTGCAGTTGGTAAAGCACTGGATGAATGTGATTCCGCCGCAAGGACCCTGTAAGGAGCCTCGCCGTGGTATTCTGCACCCGCTGGAGTTTCTGGAGTATATGTTAAGGATGGACAATATGTTTAAGGAGTCTAACAATAAAGAGTAGAGTGTTTTGAAAACTGAAGTATGGCACCAATATTTTCATTGTAAACGCCAAATTAAAGATGTATTAAAATTGTGATATTAACTATGTTTGAATTGCATAGTAATTCATGCTTATCACAGTAATAAATAAAAAGTGCAAGTAGATAAATAGGTACCACTCCAGTGCGAAGGTAAACGGTGTTTCCGTGCGCTGCTCTGGTTCGCCAGAAGTGGCTTAGTCATGCTGGCCACATGACCTGGAAGCTGTATGCCAGCTTCCTCGGCCTATAAAGCGAGATGAGTGCCACAACCCCAGAGTCGTCCACGACTGGACCTAATGGTCAGGGGTCCCTTTACCTTTAAGCCACACTCTTACTGGCTCCCTCTATAGCAACATCCCACTAGCTTTATAAGATGGATCTATTTACAGAGACATTCCCTCGATGTTTCAAATCTTCACCCTCAACTTTTGACACTCGAGAAGTCTGTTTTTAGGACCCACCCTATTTTTTGTGACAGTCAGTTTTTAAAACTGCTCTTTTAATGCTGTATTTTAAATCGTTGTAACCTGCCCTTGGGCCTTAGGATGCAGAACAGGCAACAAATTGAAATTAAATCTCCATCTTCATCATCATTCCCGACACCTTGTGCCTAAGAGACCGTAGTGTCCCTCATGCTCTCTGTATTAACTTTTGCTTGCTTGCTTGCTTTCAAAAATATTTTTATTAAATCTACAGAAATATTCCAAAACATTTATCGTCATATACAATTGTTTTTCTGTCCCAACAAAAAAATTCTTCTTGACTTCCCATCCCTCCTTTTGTGATGTTTCAGGTTTTTTTATTTTACTTCTTTTTATTAGCTGTTTTACAATACAAATGATTTTGTTATCTAAATTTCACCACCAAGTTTTACTTGCTTTCCAGGACAGTGGCTGTTTTGGTTTGCTGTACAAAAAAAACCCTCTATATAAATGAGAGTAACCCCACCAAATTCAGCGGGGCTTACTTCTGAACAGATCAGCGTAAGACTGAGAATTCTCTTTTTTTATTTTTGGTAAATGCTGTTTATTAACTTATTACTACAGCACATACACACACGGCTCTTAGAAAACAAACTACAATAGAAAACACAAGATAAATGAAAAACATATATTCATAAATCTGCAAGTATCTGCACACGAACTTATGTTAGCCATTGTTAGTTCTTATTCTATTCTATTAGACTTCCTTCCTCCTCAACGAGGGTCTGATTTTAAACTTGCTGAACTGTTTCTTTCTCATTTCATCTTTTCTACTCTTCTCCATATGTTGTATTTGTAAACTGTATTTTGTTTTGCAAAAATTATTTGAAGCAAGTCCAGGTTTTAATTTGAGGGCACTGGTTTTTTAAAAAAATAATCTCTTTCCCCTCTCTTTTTTGAAATTTTTGTTTAGACTGTCCCCTAATTGCATCCGTCATTTTTGCCAACTCAAAGTAAAAACTGTTTGGCATCCCTCTGCTTTGAGGATGTGTCATAATTGCCATTTCCAAAAACAAGCATTTTATGTTCCATGGAGGAGAATTCTGAGTATGGGCAAAGCCGGCCCCCTTTCCTTAAAAAAAACAAAAAACAGCAAAATTAATTCTTCAGAAAACACACTCTCTTTCTCTCTCTCCCTAAATCCAACCTGCTACTTCCTTCCAAATTTTTATAACAAAGATCAGGCTGGAGAAAACAACAAGAGCCACACTGGAAGATCATGCCCTTTTGGAGGTTTGGAAGACAGCGCTGGATTATACAAGGCCAGATGGGTGTAAACCAGGCAACCCCAACCTTCGGCCCTCCAGATGTTTTGGACTACAATTCCCATCATCCCTGACCACTGCTCCTGTTAGCTAGGGATCATGGGAGTTGTAGGCCAAAACACCTGGAGGGCCAAAGGTTGGGGATGCCTGGTGTAAACCCTTCCATTCCTACCCCACAAACAGGGCCAGATTTAGGTTTGATGAGGCCCTAAACTGCTAAAGACAATGGGGCACTTTATATGTCCAGCTGTCCTCTGTCAACAACAAATTGTCACTGTTTTTTGTGTTGAATATATGCTATATGGTAATTGATGGACCTAATAGGTATCTAAAGCCATTTGCACATGTTGCCCTGCAACCGGTCCATGCAGAATTTAGGCACCCTATATATAAAGGTAAAGGTAAAGGTAAAGGGACCCCTGACCATTAGGTCCAGTTGTGGCCGACTCTGGGGTTGCGGCGCTCATCTCGCTTTACTGGCCGAGGGAGCCGGCGTACAGCTTCCGGGTCATGTGGCCAGCATGACTAAGCCGCTTCTGGCAAACCAGAGCAGCGCATGGAAACGCCATTTACCTTCCCGCCGGAGTGGTACCTATTTATCTACTTGCACTTTGACGTGCTTTCAAACTGCTAGGTGGGCAGGAGCAGGGACAGAGCAACAGGAGTTCACCCCATCGCGGGGATTCGAACCGCCGACCTTCTGATCGGCAAGCCCTAGGCTCTGTGGTTTAACCCACAGCGCCACCCACGTCCCTTACCGTATATATAGAAAGGAGCAAACCAGTGATATTTTAAGGAGCAGGCTAGCAGGCGGGGCCCATGACTTACATCATAGGAGCCTACACAACACAAAACACTGTTGCTGTATGTAGGTTTTATTCTATTTGTTTTTTATCTTATATTTTGGAAATGTACATCCAGGTGTTTTTTCCCTTTAAAATTTTTTGGGGCCCCCAAGAGAGTGGGGCCCTAAGCTATAGCTTGTTTAGCTTATACGTAAATCTGGCACTGCCTACAAAGCTTGTTTGCATGTGGAAGTTCATCAAGTGATATCTTGGCACCAGACTACTCAGCCGACAACTATCAACGGGATGTACAAACCCAGTGAAAAAAGTTAATTGGCATATTCTTGCATTAAAGGCGGATGGACTAGATCAGAGCTTTCCAAAATGTTCACGTTGGCAACACACTTCTGAGACATGCATCATTTCACGACACGGTAACTCAGTTATACCAGCAAACCGAAGGTTGGACTGACCCCTTTCCTGCCCCGGGAGGAGGAAAAAAGGGAGAGTTTGTGCTCCTGATTGTAGTTTCTGTGTATTGGGTTCTCTACAGCTTTGGAGACTCTGACTACTTCGCGATGCACAAGGTATTTCTCCTCATTACGCTGTAATTTGTTGGAGTTCATTAGCCGTCTGCTTTCGGTGCTTTGATCAGCAATCACTTTGTCACAGTCGCATTATCACTGCTCTGCACCTGGTGGTCTTACGAGGCTTGAAATTGTTTTGGTGTTAATAGAAAAAAGCAATTTTTAAATGGCGGCGGTTCTCCCCCGCCCCCTCCATCCTTAATTAGAAGGTGGAGGAAACTTCCCCAACCCCCAGCGCCTTGTACTAAGTAGCTTGCAATAAATTAATAACAAGAAATGAAAGAAAAAACACAAACACACACACATATTTGCATGCCCATGTTATAGAAAGGGAATATGTTTCGTTTTCAGACTCCAACTTCAAGTTCTAAAAGCATATGGGCAGACACCTGGAATTTTCCAGCCCAATTTGCTCAGGATTAATGAATGGGAAGAAGAAGCAGGCTTGCTCATGTACAAGAAAAATAAAAACTCTGGCCCAGTTTGGTGGCCTGGATAAAATGATCCAAGTTAAACGGATTTGCATGTGTTCTCTTATTTTGTACTACTTGCTGGTGTGGCTAGGAGTGAATTCAGCTGTAAATCAGGAAGCCCCCTGTTTCAATTCCAGCTCTGCGATGAACCCCACAGCTGTCTTCGAGTGCCACTATCGTCTCAGCCTCAGTTCATCTAGCTGCAATATTGGCATAACAACGCTGATCTACAGTGGTACCTTGGTTCTCAAACGCCTTGGTACTCAAAGAACTTGGAACTCAAACACTGCAAACCCAAAAGTGTTCCGGTTTGCATGAATGTTAGAATGATGTTGGATTGAAGTTAAGTGGTTTCTAGCTGTACAGGCACAAAAGAATATGGAAAAATTGGTTATTAATATGTAAAATGTAAAATTTAAAGTTATAATATATCAAGATTAAAGATTAGGATTAAAAAGGAGGGAAAGGAATTGTTGGATTAACATATTTAATTAGAATACAAAAGAGGGAGGTAAGAGGAGGTCCGGGAAACAAGTAAACGTAAAAGAAGTGAGGAAAAGATGAAATTGTTTTTAATTGGTTTTTCTTTTTTTACTTGTATTTTTTCTTTTCATTGTTAATTTTTTCTCTACTAATGTGATTCTTTTTTTTTCTTTGAAACTTTAATAAATATTATTTTTAAAAAAAAAAAGTGTTCCGGTTTGCGAACTTCGAGACCAACTAAGTTTGTTCTTGGTATAAGCTTTCGTGTGCACGCACACTTCTTCAGATACCACTGTGGAACTATGGAACCCAGTTCAGCTACTTATTGATCAATTGTGTGACTGCAGTACATTGTTTATTGCTTTCATTTTACGGATCAATGGTCTCATTAAAGGTAAAGGTAAAGGGACCCTTGACCATTAGGTCCAGTCGTGGCCGACTCTGGGGTTGCGGCGCTCATCTCGCTTTACTGGCCGAGGGAGCCAGCGTACAGCTTCTGGGTCATGTGGCCAGCAGGACTAAGCCGCTTCTGGCGAACCAGAGCAGCGCACAGAAATGCCGTTTACCTTCCCACCGGAGCGGTACCTATTTATCTACTTGATGTGCTTTTGAACTGCTAGGTTGGCAGGAGCAGGGACCGAGCAACGGGAGCTCACACTGTCGCGGGGTTTCGAACCGCCAACCTTCTGATCGGCAAGCCCTAGGCTCTGTGGTTTAACCCACAGCGCCACCCGCGTCCCATTAGATAGTAAATCTATTAATGGTCTCATTAGATAGTAAAATTAGATATCTAATGAGATATCATTAGATAGTAAAATTCATGTTAAATTGCTGTTTTAGGGGTTGTTTTTAAAAGTCTGGAACGGATTGATCCATTTTGCATTACTTTCTATGGGAAAGCGCCTTGGTTTTGGAACACTTTGGTTTTGGAACAGATTAAGTTTGAGAACCAAGGTACCACTGTACCTTATAAGACTCTTGCATACCCCAAGGTAAGTCAGCAAGACCCTGACTTCAAAGGTCTCACCAGTCATTACTCACATAGTGCCCAACGAATTTCTTAAGAATAAGAAAGTTGCCTTTTAAAACTTCAGCGAAAGCTAACTTTCTCCTGGTGGGCAATTGCAGCTTTCCTGCAGTCCCACAGATTCATAGTACAAAGTACATAACCGTGTGTCACCAAAAGCAAAATCTTTTTATAGGAGTGCCGGGCTGTCAAAAGGCTGGGCTTCCAAGTGGATCTGGCTACACAGGGAAATGTGTGGAAAGATTCTGCAGATTCCCTAAATGCCTGAGACCCCTGTCTCTGTCTCAACAAAATTCCCAGTGCAAGACTGACTGGGCACTGCTGTTTAGCATTGGGAGCCTAAGAGGGGCTTGCAGATTTTTAAGCAGCTAATTATGGCTTCCTTGCAGAAACGTATGCCTTACACCCTGGAAATCCTGTGAGGGCTTTCAGCTCCCAATCGTGTACATCACAAGCTACAACCTCCTATTCCTCCTTCTTGCAGCCTTGGAGGATGAACTGGTACACATCAGACAGAAGTCAATCAAACATGGACCACAGAAGCCGATAGCAGTTTTATCTTATTTCTCATTTTTTAAAAAATGCAGTTGGGCTCCATCTATTTTCACTAGAGATTTTATCCCACAGGTTTTATGTACTCTGCCTTTAATGAGCTATTGCCAATTAAAATGGGGCAAGCTGAAACTTGCAAATAAATAACAAGTTTCCATTAACATTCCTCTAATCAGAGCAAATTCAGGGTTGTAGTCAGAGGTGGACTAATTTGGGGAAGATCTGCCGGGTTGTTAAGAGACCTGCTCATCCTTGTGTACATCGTGCCCAAGAAGCCCCCTTCTGGCTGCCATTCTGCAAAAGCGACGAAGGAGTTAATTTTATTTCAGGTAGGCATTATTTCAAGGATTTTGTTTAAAAGAAGAGCAAAAGACGCAGCAGGACTAATGTGAATGTTCATTTCACAGTGACATGAGCAATTGTAACTCATTTTGCTGCTCCTGGAAGAAAGATAATCTTTTCATTCACTCCTGCCTGTGAGCAGTGTGATTTACTAGTCAGAAACAATAAGATGAAATATTAAGAATAAGTTCATTTCATGCGGTGCTCAGATCCCGAAAGTCAAAACGGGAGCCGGCGTCTCTGTGCCCCAGTCTCATGGAAGTGCCACGTTCCTCTTCTGCTGCAAAATACCACCTTCCTCTGCTTTTGGCACCTCTGCATCTGTTTTCTGGGTTTTCTTTTTTCTTTTAGTGTTATAACTCTTCATAAAGGTAAAGGTAAAGGTAAAGGGACCCCTGACCATTAGGTCCAGTTGTGGCTGACTCTGGGGTTGCGGTGCGACTCTGGGCTTGTGGCGCTCATCTCGCTTTATTGGCCGAGGGAGACGGCGTACAGCTTCCGGGTCATGTGGCCAGCAAGACTAAGCCGCTTCTGGCGAACCAGAGCAGCGCACGGAAACGGCATTTACCTTCCCGCTGGAGTGGTAGCTATTGCTCTACTTGCACTTTGACGTGCTTTCGAACTGTTAGGTTGGAAGGAGCAGGGACCGAGCAACGGGAGCTCACCCCGTTGTGGGGATTTGAACCGCTGACCTTCTGATTGCCAAGTCCTAGGCTCTGTGGTTTAACCCACAGCGCCACCTGCGTCCCTCCATAAAGACAAAGGTAAGGTAAATGACCACTGGATGGTCAAGTCCAGTCAAAGGCGACTATGGGGTTGCAGCGCTCATCTCACTTTCAGGCCGAGGGAGCCGGCGTTTGTCAACAAACAGTTATCCGGGTCATGTGGCCAGCAAGACTAAACTGCTTTTGGTGCAACGGAACACCGTGACAGAAACCAGAGCGCATGGAAACACTGTTTACCTTCCCACCAGAGCGGTACCTATTTATCTACTCACACTGGTGTGCTTTCGAATTGCTAGGTTGGCAGGAGCAGGGACAGAGCAACAGGTGCTCGCTCCACCACGGGGATTCGAACCACCAACCTTCTGATCAGCAAGCCCAAGAGGCTCAGTGGTTTAGACCACTGCGTCCATATTCACAAGAGACTTTAGGCTGGCTGAGGATAGGCCAAGGTACAAGCCCCCCAAAATCCCACCCAATACCCCGGCCCAAACTGGTGTCAGGGGAAATGGGGCAGTTGTCAAAATACCCACTGAATTCCCTCTGGCCTGCACTGTGTCATCTTCAGTGAAAACACAACTCACATCTGCATCCAAATGCTCACTTTTTCCATTAGCTCTTGGATGTCATCACCCGTGAGCAAGCCACAAACATTTTCACAGGTGCACACTTGCCTCACATCCACAGCTAACCCAAATATCTGCACAAACCCCAGATCAAGTTGTGAGGCTCAGTCATCAAACGTATCAAAAATGGCACAATTCAAAAGGAGAAACGGCTGACTGGCTAGAACGGCAGAAAAACAACCCACAGTATATATTTAAAAAAACAGAAAAGTGCTCCAGACAAGATATTTTTGAAAGACGTCTCGCTAGGGTAGGAAACAAGTAGCCGTTTGTGTTCCACCCTCTCCCAGTGTGACAGCACACAATTGTTCAAATTTGTTTATTTTTCTTTTTTTAAAAAAGCTTTTAGCGAGCTATGAAATGTTCTGCATTTGAACATACTGTTTCTCTCTCTCTCTCTCTCTCTCTATCTATCTATCTATCTATCTTGAATATAAAATGCCCGGACCAAGAAGCGACTCAAGGGAAGCAAATGAGACACACATAAGATATGTAATTTAAATCATATCGCTTTGTCCCTTTGTGCCACAGCCTCAGTCCATTTAGGACCATTTTGCTACTCTTGTTTGTTGACGGGTCTCTTTGAAAAAGTACATTAATGGCACCCGCAGCGGATGACTTCATCCCTTCACAATTCTGGTAGGCCTCACAATTACTGCAAAGTCCTGACTGCAAGGGAGCCGTAACTCTGTTTTAGGGGCCGTAAGGAAGTTGTATGGTGTAGCAAACTAGTATCTGAGGAGCACAGAGAAGCGCCCTTCCTTCAGGGGATGGAAGAAACGCAAGGCGCAATAGCTCACTTTTATTCCGCCCTATAAAAAGCACCGCCAGCACCCTGACACTTGTGGCTTGAGAGGACTTATTCTAGGCCCTCAACAGCAGCATTCCTTCAACTGAAACTATTAAATGAAAATCATCTTCCACACAGTGCTCAGGCTTTAAAGGCAAAACATCGATTTCCCACGAGTTCTCTGCTTGCGAACTGAACATGTTGAGATGTTACCCGTGTAAGGATGTACATTCTCCTTTGGACAATAAAGAAGCAGGTCAAGACTCCTTCAGGGATACGAAAGGGAGAGGGTGAACTTCTACAGCACCAAGCTGCAGTAGCCACTGCCCTGAAGCCCAGCAGATGACCAGACACTCAAGGGACAAGACTGGCACATCCCCATCTCCCTTGGGCAACCAAGGTCGTATCAGTTTAGTAGCTAGCCATGAGAGAAGCTGCTAGTGGATGGCAATAAAGCCATCTTTCCTGGAAACACGATCAGTTCTAAGGAGCCCTTGCTATTACCTCTGCTCCTTCAGCTGCAGTGCAACTTGGATTGAACCATTACTACCCTTTGGCCAAACAGCCTACAAATAGAATACAGTCATAAAAGGTAAAAGTAAAGGGACCCCTGGCCGTTAAGTCCAGTCGCAGACGACTCTGGGGTTGCGGCGCTCATCTCGCTTTACTGGCCAAGGGAGGCGGCATACAGCTTCCGGGTCATGTGGCCAGCAGGACTAAGCCGCTTCTGGCGAACCAGAGCAGCACATGGAAATGCCGTTTACCTTCCCGCCAGAGTGGTACCTATTTATCTACTTGCACTTTGAGGTGCTTTTGAACTGTTAGGTTGGCAGGAGCTGGGACGGAGCAACGGGAGCTCACCCCGTCGCGGGGATTCGAACCGCCGACCTTCTGATCGGCAAGTCCTAGGCTCTGTGGTTTAACCCACAGTGCCACTTAGGGTTAAATATGCTTCAGGTTGAGCATTTTCTGGTTACGCTCCGCTGCGACCCGGAAGTAATGGAACGCGTTACTTCTGGGTTTTGCCGCTCATGCATGTGCAGACGCTCAAAATAACGTCATGCGCATGCGCAGAAGCGGCAAATCACGACCCATGCACACGCAGACGTGCAGTCGCGGGTTGCGTTCTACTCAGGATGCGAATGGGGCTCCGGAACGGATTCCGTTCACATCCAGAGGTACCACTGTAATAATAATAATAATAATAATAATAATAATAATAATTTATTATTTATACCCCGCCCATCTGGCTGGGTTTCCCCAGCCACTCTGGGCAGCTTTCAACAGAATATTAAAATACAATAATCTATTAAACACTAAAAGCTTCCCTAAACAGGGCTGCCTTCAGATGTCTTCTCCACTCTGAACTTGCTGCCTGGACTTTGGGACTCCTCGGATACTGACATCATTGAGGATTCACATGAGGAACTTGGAGTCTGCTTTGCTTCAAGCCGTGCAAAGACTTGCCCGGAGGATAAGATTGTAGGTACTTTCACAATATTTCCATACACGGTTGGTTTCTGAGACTACGCTGGCAGAAAGGGGGCAGTGGTGGAATCAGGCAACCAGTCCCCTCTCTCTCTCTCTTTCACACACACACACACACACACACACACACACACACTGCCCACTGCAAGCATTTGAAAGAATCTAAACCAGAATTTATTTCTTTTTTTTATGGTGCATCTAAAAACATAACGCACAACCCTCAACGCTCCACGTTGCAACAAAAGAATTCTGAAGCCTCTCCACTTCTCTCTTTGGAGAGAGGCAGAAGAAGCCAAATATTTCCAACTGCTCTTACCACAATTGGGACGCCGATGTCCGGCCACAGGAGGTCCTCTGACGGCAGCTTGGGAGAGTTCCAGACCACCACCACTTTGTTTAAGTAGGGGAGGCCGTTGAGCCTCTCCAGGGAGTTCATGAGCACTTCCTCTCGCTCGTAGGTCAACATGACAACGGTGAACTGCTCCCTGGGGACGTTGCCTCCCAGCGCGGCTTGGAACTCCTTCCCAGAGCCGCCAGCTCCTCCTCCGATGGGCCGGAACCCGGTCCCAGATCCGAGGAACTTGGCTTCCGACGGCAGGACAGGGTCAAAGGGTGTGTGGGGGAAGAGGTGGAAAGGGCCGGGGGCCGAGTTCCAGTTTCTGTAAATATCCATGGCGGTGAGGGTAAAATTGCGCAGGTATTTGGGCGAGGAGTAGGGCGGCTCCGTCTCCACCGGCCCCAAGTCTAAGTCCCCGTTGTCGGCCATGTTGGGGTCTGTGCCAGCAGCCTTTCCGGACCGGTGGGGGATCTCCACCGCAGCCTCCTCCCGGATGGGGACGGCCGGGATTTGGATTCGAGTCCTTATGATGGCTAGAACCGTGCTGAAGATGCTGTCCGAAGTGGAAAAGTAGGTCTCCCACAGGAAGCGGCCCTGCCTCCTCATGGCCAGGAGGTCGTTGTCGGAAATACTCCGCAGGAGAAAGTGCACTTCCGTGATACGTGGCTTTGGTATGATTAAGGCTGCCTCGTTCCACCGGATCACATCGTGGTAGGGCAGCTGGACCTGCTCTCCCAAGATCACCGGGATCGCCCCAACCTCCAGGGCCTCGAAAAGACGCATTGCGCACCCGGCGGAGATGACAAGGTGGGTGTCCCCCGGGGTGATTATCAGTGCAAAAGTAGATAGTTTCAGTAGCTCTAGTCTGTCTTCCCTTTCTCCACAAAGAGCCCACTCAGTGGGCAGGCTTGCCTTAGGCTGGTTCTTACAAGTGAATTCCACCAAGACAAAGTCCAGCTTGCTGTCTTGGACAGCCTTCAGGGTGGTAATGATCCTGTCATCATAGTCCGCTGGGGCGTTGCCTTCGATTTCTTCTTCGAAGGAGCGCACTTCTTGCAAGCTGGACCGGAGAGACTCCACCTTCTCCCCTTGGAAACTGAACAGGTATTTTCGCTTGACCGGCACCTGGGGCGGGATCTCTAGGAAATTGGGCTCGGACATGGCGTGGACAAGAGGGGAGACCACGATATCGAAACCCGGGCGATACTGTACATCGTAAAAGGTGGACTGGGCGACCATGGCCCGCCCGGTGCTGACGTTATAAAGGAAGTTCTGAGTTTCCGACTTCCTGGACAAGTTGATGATCAGGTGGTTGTGCCCGTCAGTCCTCCAAAAGGGCAGCGTGTGCAACTGTTGCTCGAGTTCAGTAGGTTTTGGCATAACGGGCTCCTGCATTTCCCCCACGAGGATTATGTACAAACAGGCAATGTTTGCGTTTTCAGTAATGTACACGTTCGTTCTGACAGTGGACTCAAAGGCCTGCTTAATTAAGGGGTCCAACGAGCTCCCAAAATCGAACTGGTCGCTGTTGTAGACATACACGGGGAAGCCGGACGTCAGCGGGCAGCGGGAGTAGTCGAAGCAGTTGTGTAGCCGGCAGCTCCTGTGGGATTTGGGCAGGGGGAAGTTGGAGTCGTCCTTGTCCGGCAACAGCCGGATGGGCAGGGAGAGCTTGGGTTGGTTCTGCGCCATGAGTTCTTTGTAGGAGTGCTCCGTCTGGCTGATGACATTCTTCAGCTGCAGGAGGTCCTGCTTGGCGTTCTCAATGCTCTTCTTGCAGGCTTCGATCTTGAGGTTCAGCTTGGCGATCTCGCTGTTCAGCTCCTGCCTCTTGGCTTCCAGCTGCAGCAGCTCCTCGCTCACCGATTCCCGGATGCGGCAGAGGTCCTGGACGTGCTTCACCTCGCAAAGCTCGTTGCCCGTGCGCGGCCCGAAGATGCGCTTGCCGGCGTCGTCGGCGTCGTCTATGGTGGTTAGGTAGTAGTGGGCGATGAGGGGGAAGAAGACCAGGATGATGAACAAGGTGAAGCTGAGCCAAGTGAGTCGAATGCGGCTGGACCATCGCAGCATCCAGGGTTGGCCTCCATTGCCTACCCCTCCATTCCGCAACATGGTATACCCGGTCATGAGTCCAAGAGTTGGTGCTGCCCCTCTTATCACGTTGGATCAGTAGCCATAACCAAGGTGGTTTTTACCGGCAAGGCTCCAGGAGGAAAGGCTACTGCGCCCGTTGGACCAAGGGCCAATAGAACGGAAATTTCATCTTCTCCTTGAGATGGAGGACGCAACTTCCGATCCAGTTAGAACCAAGGGCAAAACTCTTCTTCTTGGCCTCCAGTTAACTGGGTGTTGCTAGGAGAGTGCGGGCAGGGTCACCACGGCAATCGGTTGCCCCCTCCGGACCAGAGAAACGCAACGGGAGCAAGGCAACCTTCAATGTCACCCTCCACATTCTGTATTAGCATCCAATGAACGAGACAAGCAGGGGGAAGTTCATGCAATCATGATTCTCTGTCGCCTCTGTGCTGCCAGGATTTCACCATTCCTAAAAGAGAGAGAGATAGGAGACAACCATGACACATCGGGCAATATAAGATGTGCCTCCTTCATTGCGTTATAGAAACAGAGACCAGGAAAGCATTAATAAAGAGAACAACATCCTTCCTTTTGCCTAGATCTGACCTGCGGCTTATACAGTAAGCCCACAACTTATGTTGCACATTCAGCTTTATGTGCTTGGTGAAAACTTTTTTTTTGAAAAAATAGAAAGGGGGCGGGCATCCAGGAAAAAAAAAAAAGACTTTGGTAATCCCACCAGCCATGGCAACCTATGAATTTTCACTATATGCAATTTTGGCCTGAAGAATTATCCCCTGTGTAAGTTGCGGACTTACTGTAAAGCCAAGCTGGCCACATGCTGCTTAGGTTGTGGTCAGATGCTACGTTCCAAACTTGGTACAAGAAAGTCCTGGGACAGCAAATGCCCACCGGTCTTCATATAAAACATTACTACACAAAACCCCTCTCTCCCTCAGATTAGAATCATAGAATCGAAGAGTTGGAAGGTCATCGGTCTACGCAGCTTGAAACATTTCAGAACCAGGGCTCACTTTTAACCCAAACATGCATTTGGGGATCCATTTATTAACATTTTGCCATCTATCTGCACGGTGGTAGTGCTCCAGTTGCAACCCAGCTTGGATCAGGCCACTAGACGGTCCCTACCCCACCCATTGAAGACCAGTGATTCAACCCAAACTCCTGCAATGCAGGTATCACAGCTGAAACATCCCTGACAGGTGGACATCCAACCTCTGTTTAAAAACCTCTAATGAATTATTATGGAGGATGCCATGTGTGGATTACAAAAAGAAGAAGAAGAAGAGGAAGAGGAAGAGGAAGAAGAAGAAGAAGAAGAAGAAGAATTTTATTCATGGGTGGGGGTCTTCGGGGGGTGGAGTAAATAGTTATTTGTTCTATTGTTCCTTGATGTATTACATTCATCAACCTTTACAAAAACCGTTAGTGACTTATAAATGAGAAATATCTGCTGCAGAAATATATATATAGAGAGAGAGACACCAGTAGCACCTTAGAGATCAGCTAAGTTTGTTCTAGGTATGAGCTTTCGTGTGCATGCACACTTCTTCAGATACCAAGTGTGCATACACATGAAAGCTCATACGAAGAACAAGTTTAGTTGGTCTCTAAGGTGCTACTGGACAATTTTATTGTTTTATAAATATTTCTACTGTGTCAAACCAACACAGCTACCTACCTATATCTGCTGAAGATATTCTTATTATTCTGTACCTAGCTATTGTTAATAATAATAATAATAATTTCTTATTTATACCCCGCCCATCTGGCTGGGTTTCCCCAGCCACTCTGGGCGGCTTCCAACAAAGTATTAAAATACAGTGGTCTGTTAAACATTAAAAGCTTCCCTAAAGAGGGCTGCCCTCAGAGGTCTTCTAAAAGTCTGGTAGTTCTTCTCTTTGACATCTGGTGGGATGGTGTTCCACAGGGCAGGTGCCACTACCAAGAAGGCCCTCTGCCTGGTTCCCTGTAACTTGGCTTCTCACAGTGAGGGAACCGCCAGAAGGCCCTTGGCGCTGGACCTCAGTGTCTGGGCAGAATGATGGGGGTGGAGACGCTCCTTCAGGTATACTGGACCAAGGCCGTTTCTTGAAAATAAATAAAAGCACACAAAAAACCCCCCACCACCCTCCAATGAAGGAGAGTTTACCACCTTCAGAGGTCGTCCATTCCACTGCTGAACAGCTTTTACCATCAAAAAGTTCTTCCTAATGTTGATTTGGAATCTCCTTCCTTGTAATTTGAATCCACTGGTTTGAGTCCTATCCTCTACACACAGATTTGTTTGAACTCACTCTAAAAACCTGGATCAAATATGAGTGGGGCGGAGGCCTTCTGATGCCAGGCTCAAAATACAACATTAGGCCGGCTCCCTAGATTTCATCCAACTTTGGCAAGATGTCAGGACGCCATATGATTAGAGCAGAAGAGCAGCTGCAATTTTCTGAGCTGGAACTTTACAAACCATTTCAGCCTTTGTCTGCCTCAGATCCTGCACCTTTTGAAACAAGCAGCTTACATGGGTTTCTGCCACCTTAGATGCAAATGACACGGAAAAGCACATTGCGGGAAGGGGGCAGAATATTCGCACTCTATAAATTTAAAGGAAGAGAAAAAGGGAAGGAAACGTTGCGGTAATCCTCTGAAAGGCAGAAGAATTAAGGGATGGAGAGCGATTCTTCACATATGACATAATTAGCTGGTGGAATTTATCGCAAGCCATGATGGACACAAGCAGCTTTCTTTCAAGAGAGAGGGAGAGAGGAGAGCATTTTTGTGTGAATAGGCCAGCAGTGTGCCAAGTTTAGACAGCAAGGGCACGCGAGACAGCCATTCTTGGTAGTCGCCCCAGAATGGTGGAAGCCTCTTCCCTTGGAGCAAAGGTGAGGAACCTCAAGCCCAGGGGATGAATGCAGCCCCCCAGGTTTCTCTATCTGGTGCTAAGAACTGCCCCCAAGCCGCCGCCACGCTCCATGAGTCCTTTAGCCTGAGTGGAACCTGTCCTTGCAATAGGATCAACCCCTTTGCTTGCCCCTCTCTCTCTCCCTCTCTCTCTCTCCTCCACCCCTCTGAGTAGAAACAGATGACTTTTTTGGTGAACTACCTTGGAATGCAGTCTACTGTACAAAAGTACAAGTCACACCCTTTGCTTCTTTCGCTTTTGCCTCTGTGACTACCCACCACTGGCTCACAGCCGCCAGCAGGTGCTGGGCAATACATCAATATATCGCCCAAAACCAGTCTGAAGTCCACATTGTGATATCGGTTTCATAATTTTTGACCTGGAAATATATCACAAATCATGGTGTGTGTGTGTGTGTGTGTGTGTGTGTGCATGCTATGCAAAAATCACAATGTGGGGAAAACTGTGAAACCGGCCAATGCTTCTCTCGATTCCTGCAACCCCTGCTAACTCTGACGGCTAAGCTCTCCCCGAACTCCTGCAGTGTGGTAGCACATCACAAGAGCAGGCGCTGGCAAAAACCACAATGCAGGGAAAAACCGTGAAGCCAGCCAATTCCTTATTCAGACACCGTGATGCAGTCATACCTCTTGTTACGTTTGCTTCAGGTTAAATCTTTTCAGGTTGCGTCCCGCGGTGACCCAGAAGTACCAGAAAGGGTTACTTCCGGGTTTCGCTGCTCGCGCATGCACAGACACGCAAAATAACGTCACGCGCATGCGCAGAAGTGGCAAATCGTGACCCGCGCACACGCAGATTGCGTTCTGCTCATGTTGCAAATGGGGCTCTGGGACAGATCCCGTTTGCAACCAGAGGTACCACTGTATATTGGTATATCACAATCCTTGGTGATATATCACAATGTTGAAAACCAGATATTGCCCAGCCCTAGCCCCCAGAAAGTTGCCCATGAATGAAAAAGGTTTCCCACCCCTGTCTTTGGGGTTCACCAAAATCAGAGCCTGTGTGCTTTCCAGAAGCATTGTTGTAAGGGCATAAGAAGATCCTGCAGGATCAGGCCAGTGGCTCAACCAGTCTTTGCAGCGGCCAACCAGATGCTAGACATCACTGCCACAGTTCTCTGCCCACCTGCAACTTCCAGCAACTGGTACACAAGGGTACACTGCCACCTTTGCTTTTAGCAGGCCCACTGCCCACCATCCACCAAGACATTTACCACACACACACACACACACACAATCTTTGCTACTCTGGCTAGTACAAGAACATGCAACGGAGGAGAACCTTCAACACCTAGGGCGATGTTGGAATAAACACCAGCGAGGTCACCGACCAGCACGTTGCTCCATTATTTCCCAGTATCACCCAGCAAAGGGCATCCATGTAAATTACAGAAGACGTCTGGAAGGAGAGAACTGCTAGAGGGTCCAGGGAGAAAAAGGATGAATAGCTTTCTGGATTCTTGGCAGTGCAAGTTAGGATGTGTGCGTGCAAGAATGGGAACGGCTGTGGAAAAGAGATATCGAATTTACGGCATGCTATAATTTAAGAGAGAATGTAATGAAAATGCAATACAGATGGTACCCGACCCTGGCCAGATTGGCAAAAATGTACAAAAACTGTAGTGATGTCTGTTGGAGATGCAACAATGGGGCAGGAACTTTTCTACATATGTGGTGGGAGTGCAAAGAGATAGCGGGGTTCTGGGAAAATATCTATAACGAACTGAAAAAGATGTTCAGATTTTCATTTGGGAAAAACCCCAGAATCCTTTCTCCTAGGTATCATGTCAGAGGAAATAAAAAGAACGGGCAGACCAATATTTATGTATGCAACTATGGCGGCAAGGTTATTGATTGCTAAAAATTGGAAAAGCAGCAGCGTCCCAACTGAAACAGACTGGTTATCTAAAATGATGGAATACTTCCATATTGCCGAACTAACAGGGAGGATAAGAGGAGATATGGTACAAAAAGTAACAAGAACGGCTGGAAATCAAGTCACTTGGTGGGTGTCCGTGTGGGGTAGGTGTGTAGGTATGTTGATATGTATAGTATAGGTAGGTAGGTATTATATAGAGTAATGTAGGTATGTTTTATGTTATGAAATTAAGGTAGTGTGTTGTATATATGTATTGCGTAACTGTATATGTATGTGTTTTATATGTTAATAAAATAAAAAAAAATTTAAAAGGATGTATGCATGCAGGAGAGACGAATCACCTCAGCCAGAACCGTATTTGTGCTGTACATGTGTCCGTATTTGTATGCTGGAGAAGGAAGCTGTCCGTCAAACTCTGTTAAACCTTCAAATTAACAAGCTATCCTCATGGTGCCCCTGGGTCCCACTGCTACCACGCTGCCTTATGGAACAGACAAGGTTCATCGGATGTGAGACATGAGCAGCAACTAATTGGTTGAGCCAACAGAAACAGCCTGGAGTGTGCTTAAAAGCCAGTCGTATTTTTAATGTCCTGCCCTCTGCCAGAGAAGAAGGTGACTCTTGTAGAGGCCCAACTCCTGTTCCCGGCCTCCGTGTCTGCTTTCCCCCCCCTCTCCCACAGGCTTCTTCTATGCTTAGGGGGGGAAATGTCTCTCAACACCCCTGCTTGCTTTGTGTCTTCTGTCCACATGGCAAACGGTGGTTTGGTCCTACACATAGAAACCTCCACAAAGCCAAGTAATGCAACAGGCTCTCACACTAAACAAGACTTCTGGTATCTTTCAACGGTTGTCATTTTAAATGTATACCGTATTTTTCGCTCTATAAGACACACCAGACCATAAGATGCACCTAGTTTTTGGAGGAGGAAAACAAGAAAAAAAAAATCTGAATCTCAGAAACCAGAACAACAGGAGGGATCGCTGTGCAGAGAAAGCGGCGATCCCTCTTGCTGTTCTGGCTTCTGGGATCGCTGCGAAGCCTGCATTTGCTCCATGAGACGCAGACACAGTTCCCCTTACTTTTTAGGAGGGAAAAAGTGAGTCTTATAGAGCAAAAAATACGGTAGGTAGTGATGTATGGAAGTGAGAGCTGGACCATCAAGAAGGCTGATCGCCAAAGAATGGATGCTTTTGAAGAAGATTCAACCGATTCTGAAGGAAATCAGCCCTGAGTGCTCATTGGAAGGACGGATCCTGAAGCTGAGACTCCAATACTTTGGCCACCTCATGAGAAGAGAAGACTCCCTGGAAAAGACCCTGATGTTGGGAAAGATGGAGGGCACAAGGAGAAGGGGACGACGGAGGATGAGATGGTGGGACAGTGTTCTCAAAGCTACTAACATGAGTTTGACCAAACTGCGGGAGGCAGTGGAAGACAGGAGTGCCTGGCGTGCTCTGGTCCAGGGGGTCACGAAGAGTCGGACACAACTAAACAACAACATTAATGCAATAAAATAATACAAATCAGGCCGGTAAGGAGGGCCCCATTTTAGATGGCTGCACTCTATTGTTACATTATTATTATCAGGCCTTTTCAGTGGCAGCACCACAGTCATGTAACTTCCTCGCCGTCAAAGTTCACCTGGCATGAAATTTGATGCTCTTCAGACACCGGGTGAAACGAATTGTGTTTTCCTAGTTTTTAATGGGTTGTCAAACTGCTCTTAGCGGTTCTCAGCGTTCTGACGGCATTTAAAGATTCCCTTGCTGCTGAAATGTACTGTTTTTAATCGGTCTAACAGTTTTAGCTTTTGCCAATTGTTTTATTGTGATTGTTCCCAGTTAAGCTTTTGTACCAGAAAGGTGGCATATTTTTTAAAATAATAATAATAATAATAAAAGGATGTTTTGTACAGGGACTACAGTATTTCCCTCTCCCTGCTGGAACAGCCTTGCCTAAATATCCTCGCATTTCTGCTATCTGTTTCTATACCCAGGACTGGGATAAAAGAGTATTCCCTTTTTACGCTTGTATCACTGCAGGCAGAAAGTGCTTTTGGACATGAAATTGCTTTACGCCACTAATCTTGAGCAGAAGCCACACAGCAGAGATTTAGAAGGAGCCGCCGGAGAATTTATCAGCCGCGAGATGCCAGATTGCATAATGCTGTGGCATGTTTCGCGTTACAAAAGACACACCGAGATTTGCAGGGTGTCTAGGATATGACAGCCACGGGGAGAGGACTGTTTGCTTCCTAGCTGGTACAACCCAGACTTCCTTAAGGCCACAAAGGGAGTAAGTTTTGGGTCAGGCAAGAAAATAAAGTCCAGATTCATAGTCCTAATATCATCTTCAATGAGAAGCACTAGCGAGAGTCTGAGAGAGGGAGGCTTCCCCTAAACTACCCCATTGCACTTGAGATCCAATTGCAGCTCATTTTTGCTCTGCTCTTTAGTTTTATCTTTACAGCCTGCCTCCTTTTTCCTGCTTTTTGTTCTGCTTATCTGCTGGCTTTTAATATCCTTTGCATACTTTGTACGAATAATTTCACTCTTCCTTCATACAGCGCCCTGGAATCCTCCTGACGAAGGGAGGCGCAGAAATATTTTAAAATACCGTATTTTTTGCTCTATAAGACTCACTTTTCCCTACTAAAAAGTAAGGGGAAATGTGTGTGTGTCTTATGGAGCAAATGCAGGCTGCGCAGCTATCCTAGAAGCCAGAACAGCAAGAGGGATCGCTGCTTTCACTTCACAGCGATCCCTCTTGCTGTTCTGGCTTCTGAGATGCAGAATGTTTTTTTTCTTGTTTTCCTCCTCCAAAAACTAGGTGCGTCTTGTGGTCTGGTGCGTCTTATAGAGCGAAAAATACGGTAAATAAGACTGGAACTTGTCGACAAATATACCACTCGCATTTGGACCAATGGGTGTAGGTTCATACCTGGGAATTCTGTGTGCATTTACAAGGCATTAAGAGTTCCCCAGCCCCACCATGCTTGCAACATTGCAAATGTGACAATTGAAAGGCACACCCACCCACCCACAAGCTCAGGAGGCGTGAAGGATTGGTTTCAAATATAAGGTGCTTCTCGAAATTCCAGTTCAGATAAAGAAAAGAGCCATGAGCATTAAAGCACCCAGCCCTCTCTCTGCTTAAACCAAGCCCCTAAACTAGACAGACCAAAAGCTCTTGCAGCCTCCACAAAGAGTGCCACTCCTGGGGAAGATCCAACAAGTTGTACTTTTAATAGAATCATAGAATAGTGGAGTTGGAAGGGACCCTGAGGATCATTTAGTCCAACCCCCTGCAATGCAGAAATATGCAGTCGTCCCATACAGGAATTGAACTTGCAGCCTCGGCGTTATCAACCCCACACTCTAAGCAATTGAGCCATCTGGGGTTTTGTAGCGTAACTGACAAGAAATGGTGCTCTCCAAAAATGGCTTCACCTTGGGCTGCCTTTGGACTGTCACAATTTTGTGGGAGAAATGCAAGCACACACCATGAATTTAGCTTTGGGCAATGAAAGGGGATGGAAGCACTCTGCACACCCCCTGGCACAACAAACCCACTTTAAAACAGAAGCTGGCTTTTTAATGTTAAGAAAGTGCCTTAACTCCCAAACCTAGATTTTGTGCATGGCCAGACAAGGGTTGCGAGACAGCATCTGAAAAAGCAGAGATATCACTTTGCCAACAAGGCCTGTATAGTTAAAGCTCTGGTTTACCCAGTAGTGATGCATGGAAGTGAGAGCTGGACCATAAAGAAGGCTGATCGCTGAAGAGCTGATGCTTTTGAATTCTGGTGCTGGAGGAGACTCTTGAGAGTCTCATGGACTGCAAGAAGATCAAACCGATCCATTCTGAAGGAAATCAGCCCTGAGTGCTCACTGGAAGGACAGATCCTGAAGCTGAGGCTCCAATATTTTGGCCACCCCATGAGAAGAGAAGACTCCCTGGAAAAGACCCTGATGTTGGGAAAGATGGAGGGCACAGGGAGAAGGGGATGACAGAGGATGAGATGGTGGGACAGTGTTCTCTAAGCCAGTGTTTCCCAACCTTGGGCCTCCAGCTGTTTTCGAACTACAATTCCCATCATCCCTGACCACTGGTCTTGCTAGCTGAGGATTATGGGAGTTGTAGTCCAAAAACAGCTGGAGGCCCAAGGTTGGGAAATGCTGCTCTAAGCTACCAGCATGAGTTTGACCAAACTGCGGGAGGCAGTGGAAGACAGGAGTGCCTGGCATGCTCTGGTCCACAGGGTCACGAAGAGTCGGACAGGACTAAACGACAACAACAACAGCAACAACATATAGGCAGGCCTGCACTTCTCAACCACTGCTGTTAACATATGCAGCTGAGAACACCCCCGGTTTTTGTTGGCCAAAGGAAAAGACTACTGCCGCAACTCCACCCTAGACAGAAATGTCCCCCTTCCCCAGAGTTCCGCCTTGCAGATCCTTTCCTTTAAGTTACCCAAAGTCAACCTTGAAGAAGAGATTTGCCAAGTAACTGAGTTTTGATTTATGACTGTTGAATTACAGCAATTACTTATTGATGTGGGGAACCTGGTTCACCCGATGACCACAAAATCTGTTTTCGAAAAATAGGTGCCTTTTTTGAAAGTTCAGTTTTTTAATAGAGACAGTGACCGTTTTCGGTGTGTCTGATAGGTGTGTGGCAAGGGACGCGGGTGGCGCTGTGGTCTAAACCACTGAGCCTCGTGGGCTTGCTGACTGGAAGGTCAGCAGTTCAAATCCCCACGACAGGGTGAGCTCCCGTTGCTCTGTCCCAGCTCCTGCCAACCTAGCAGTTCGAAAGCACACCAGTGCAAGTAGATAAATAGATACTGCTGCAGCAGCAAGGTAAATGGCATTTCTATGCGCTCTGATTTCTGTCACAGTGTTCTGTTGCGCCAGAAGTGGTTTAGTCATGCCGGCCACATGAACCAGAAAGCTGTATGTGGACAAATGCCGGCTCCCTCGGCCTGAAAGCGAGATGAGCACCGCAACCCCATAGTCGCCTTTGACTGGACTTAACTGTCCACGGGTCCTTTACCTTATTCGTGTGGCACACCAAACCTGGAAGTGACCCCAAAACATCACAAAAAGGGGCGGAATGGGGTCTTTGCAGGCTATACGCAATTTCACTTAAACATGTGGTGCCTTGGAGTGTAAAACCCAATCCATCACTCCGTCAACAAAAGTCAAGCTAAGACTCCAAACAATGGCACTGTGTTCTTCTGGTCGCTCTGCTGCACTGCACAGACTGGATGCGCTGCAGAAGAAATGCCTTTGCCCATTGTGTGTCTGATTTCACCGCTTGCAAAACTCCCCATGGCACCAACAAAAGTAGCGATGAGCATCTGCAAGAAGTGCCACATTTTCAAGACTCGGGAAGCGACTGTATTGCTCCGCTGAGCACCTGGCAGGATGCAACTGAAGTGGAGCAGTCTGTTCTGGGAGCCGCATTTCAAAGGAACAAGCTGGAAATGATTTTGGGAGGAGAGCTGCGGAAGATGGCGTTTGTATTAAGGATCAAATCCCAACGCTGTAACGATAGGCTGAAGGACCTGGGTATATTCGTCCTAGAGGAATGGATATTAAGGGAGGGAGTTGCTGACAGCTCCAAAATATTAGAAAGATCTCAGGGTTTGAATCGGCACCTGGGCTGGGGCAAGCATCAATGGGTTGAAGTGCTGGGCTGGGGAAGAGAAAACCTAATGGTAAAAAGCTAAACCAGGCTAGCAAAGGAGTTTGTTGAATCTACTGCCTCTGAGGTTCCCAGGCAAATTTGGGAGGGATGTTTTGAGCATGCAATGCCCTGCTTCACAACAGTGTTAACCAGAAAATCCCTCTGGCTCCCCAAAGCTATACAAAGCTATTGTTCTACCCATGCATAAAAAACCCATAATGGCTGATGATAATGGAGTAAGTCTGAGGGAAAAGAGCCACTATTTATACGTTCGTATTCCCAATGCTTCTGGCACTCTGTAGGAGAAAGAACTTGCGACATTTTAAAGTCTCCATATTTGCTGCCTACTCAATAACCTCCAAGGGACGCGGGTGGTGCTGTGGGTTAAACCACAGAGCCTAGGACTTGCCGATCAGAAGGTCGGTGGTTCGAATCCCCACGACGGGGTGAGCTCCCGTTGCTCGGTCCCTGCTCCTGCCCACCTAGCAGTTCGAAAGCACGTCAAAGTGCAAGTAGATAAATAGGTACCGCTCCGGCGGGAAGGTAAACGGTGTTTCTGTGTGCTGCTCTGGTTCGCCAGAAGCAGCTTAGTCCTGCTGGCCACATGACCCGGAAGCTGTACGCCAGCTCCCTCGGCCAGTAAAGCGAGATGAGCGCCGCAACCCCAGAGTCGGCCATGACCAGACCTAACAGTCAGGCGTCCCTTTACCAATAACCTCCACCACCAGGTCTTTTCCACAGGTTGGACCCTGGTTCATTCCTCACGAGGAGCTTATGCCCACTAGTGTGAGACAGCAGCTAAAACCAAGGTATGGCTTAGTGCAACGGTTTCTAAAGTGGGCATTACTATCCCCTGGAGGGTGGGGGGATTACTGGGGGGGGCACTAAGAGCCGGGGGGGCACTGAAGGTGTAAATGGCTATTGGACTTTGGAAAACTGGTATCCCTGGATCACGTTCATTGAGTTTTGCTGACTTAATTAAACTGAACAGTTTTAATAGGGTTTTGAATCAATGCGCAATTTATTGTTGCTGCTCCGAATTGTGTTGTGTTATTATCTTCCTTAGTGGGCTGTGCTTTTTGTAGGGCAGAGTAGGGGGTGCTGGGAATGAGTTTAGGCAAGGGTTAGCAACCTTTTTCAGCAGGGGGCCAGTCTACCATCCCTCAGACCATGTGGTGGGCCGGACTATAATTTGAGAAAATAATAATGAATGAATTCCTATGCCCCACAAATAACCCAGAGATGCATTTTAAATACAGTGGACTCTCAGGTTGCGAACGTGATCCATGCGGGATGCACGTTCGCAACCCGCAATGTCCTCAACCCGCAGCGGCGCACACACGTGTTGCGATTCTGCGCTTCTGCGCATGCACAAAGCGTGATTTAGCGCTTCTGCGCGTGCACGACCGCCAAAACCCAGAAGTAACCCATTCCGGTACTTCCAGATTTTGATGATCCGCAACCCGAAAAAACACAACCTGAAGTGTCTGTAACCCGAGGTATGACTGTAAAAGCACACATTCTACTCATGTAAAAACACCAGGCAGGCCCCACAAATAACCCAGAGATGCATTTTAAATAAAAGGACACATTCTACTCATGTAAAGACACGCTGATTCCCGGACCATCCGCGGGCCGGATTGAGAAGGCGATTGGGTCACATCCTGCCCCCGGGCCTTAGGTTGCCTACCCCTGAGTTTAGGAATCCAAGGGGGAGGCCACCACTCCCCCCAAAAATGGGGAACCGCTGGTCTAAAAGAATAAAAATTGTATAAGCATCGGTCCTCCATCTCTCTCCATGACCATATACTAAATAAATGGGGCCACAGTGACAAGACATAGCAGATGCTGTAAGAACCATGTACAACACCAAGCGTGGACGACCCGGCCAATACAACAACAGCTAAACTTCCTGCCCTGAATTTTTTTTATCCCCAGGGATCAAAAGCATTCTCTTGTCGGACCTACAACACACAGGGCTGGTTTGCCCAGCAGTGGTAACAAATGTGCTAGAAACAGAATGGTGCAAGACCTGTTTGCTGTTCTGGAGAAAACAGACAGGGGTGAACTAGATAGAGCTGGCAGCTTTTACGTTTATTTTAAGAAGTATGCTTGAGCCACAGGTGGGGGTTTTGTTGTTTCTTAAAAGGGGGGGGGGAGAAAGGAAGGAGCCTGTGCCTCCATTAACAAGCTCTTTGCCCTCCAAAGGGGGGTGGCGTGGTCTCTAAACCACAGCTTAATAGAACAAAATAAACAGCAGAAGAGATTTAAGAACCACACATTTGGAGCCAGTCAGAGAGCTGCCAAAAGGGTGGCTAATTTCGCAGTTCCATCTAGCAGCTATCTCAGCCCATTAGCCTTTCATTTCTGCCTCGCACCTCAGACTTTAAGTAAGAACCCATCAGCAAATCATTAAAGGGCTTTATACAAGGCTCTCCTAATAGAGCTCTAATACCAGCTGGAACTGAGCAGAAAGCTAATTTCATATAATGGTCTTCCAGACGAGGCACAAAAGGCAGGCAATGCCCAGGTGACAAGATGTTCTTGCCTTTTAAAAAAATTAGACCTCTGTATTCTCCTGGCAGGAGTGGGGAGAAAAACGTGCCAACCCACTCGTCTGCACAGCATGCCCCACTTGGCCTTTAAAAATATATTTTTACGTTGTTGGTTTTTTAAAAAAATAACCCTGTGCCAACTCTGCACAGATC